AAAGACTCGTTTTGTTTATGAGCGAAGAAAGGTGCTTGTAACAAAATAGAACAGAAAAAAACAACACACATAGTCACACATATGAATGCTTCATCAATCGGATAACAACGCGATACTCAAGATCGCTTAAATTTTTTTCACAACAACATCTTGCTGCGTGAAATAAATATGTTTAATATATATACACATAAAAGCAGACTATACGGAATGGAACACAATTATTTTTTTGATCGTTACATCCGTTTGTATTTGTGTGGATCTATGTCTGTGACATAAAAGACCTTTTCTTATCTCGGTATATACAGTCACAGTCACACATACACACACACACACATACCTATTATATTTGAACAATTCTGTCTGACTAAATCAAATTAGACATAGAACAAACTCATGATATTTAGTAACAAAACAAAAAAAATCATTAAGTTAGCGTGTTTCACATGAGTGTGAGTGAGATTCTAACCTCTATGGATTCAAAACATTTGACTGATTCACGACTTAAAATAGACTGAACTTATGAATGTTAGTGATGTAAGGTGAATTTCTTTTACTTTTTAATCTTTTTATTTCTACATGGGGTGTGTACGGATTCCAGAAACTAGATGAACATCGCAGATGTAAAAATATGAAGGTTAAGAGCAGCTGAATGATAAAATTTTCTGAAAACTGACTTGAACATAACCATTAAGAATTTTCAAAATTGATCGCCTAGCTATTCATCAATCTCGGAATATTTTCGGATGGTCTTATATGTCTGTTTAAAATATAGATGTGTATAGACATAACAAATGGTAATTAATCATCTTCTCTCTTTGTCTATGCTGTTATCCTGAATATGATGAACGTTATAAATTATGATCGAAATCAGAGAATATATTAGAATTTTAAATGGATTTTTTTACACAAATTTTTAGTTCAATTAAAGGATAAATACAAAATCGGACTAGATACTCCGCACAGTTCTATTGTGGATGTTGATCATCAAACGACTACTGCTTCACTAGTTAATAAACAAGTCCGATTCTCTTTCGTCCAGTATTTCAATGAGAAAAGACTAAAAGCTCACGTTTGATGACAAAACTCGAATTCAATTTTGTGAGCTTCTCATGTTTAATCAATTAGGATAATAACATATCAGTCGAACGGTCTATGTATTAGAATAGATAAGATGAAAAAGCTTTTGATACGTTTTGAAAACAACTCACAGGCCAACAATTTTGTCCTTTGACACACTTAAAGGGTTCATTCCATGTTTTTACTCATTCTATATACGCCTATTTTCTTTTATCGTATTTTATTTTTAATTTCAATCATATTATTATAGTAATTATTATGTTATTCATCAACTAGATTAAAAAAAGCCTTATTGACACTTTTTCAAATAGAAAGAAAAGAGGCAATAAGATGTTTTTTTTTTGTCTTTCTGAATCGAAAAATGTCTCTTTCAAAGACCTGGTATATTTAACAAAGAACGATACAGCTAAAGAGAAAAAAGCATCTATCAGCACTTCTATCAGTTATAGTTATTGAGATGGTGCTAGTGCTATATCACACAGTTTAAAGAAGAAAAAGAAATCGTAACCTTTGTAATGAATTTAAAGTAAATTTTAAAGATCCCTAATTCACTCACGTATACTGAAAATGAGTGAAGTTATATTCTTTAGTCGCTTTCTAATTACAGGCACTTTTATCCACAATAGGAAGCACAGTTCTGGTCACTTTTTTTATATTGAAAATGTTTTCTATCTCAAGAAAAAGGAGATTGTTATTTCAACAGAATAGAAAAAAAAAGAATAATCGTGTAACGACGTGTCTACTTACATTAAAGAAAAAATCCTTTTTGCCGTTACACACAGTCAAAGATGTAGTCTATAGGGTCTATAATCAGAATTTCTTTTTTTTTCAGATCTATTCTATACTATGCATATAGAGAAACAGATGTGATGACGTAGCCTCCTTCGCGATTATATTCTTGCATTTTTTTCCTTCTATGTATATATGTGATAAGCATGAGGTCTTTAATAAAAATGCACTCAACACATGACACGATCAGCGGTCTACAAAGAACGCAAAAAAGAAAAACAGAATATGACTTTTTGTCTCTCTATCTTATCTTTTGGTTACCACCGATTATTGTTATATTGAACATAAAGATGTATTCATCCATGTTAGGTCTCTAGACGGTATTCTCGATAAGCTTTAACGGTTTATAATAATTAATACAATATAATAGATGCTGAACACGATACTCGACTATTGATAAACGAAGTTTAAAATGTCCATAGATGTCGCTATACTTTGAACAATGTATTCTTACTATCTGTCTGCCGTTTACAACTATGAAAACAAAACTTTTCCCATTTAGTTAAGTATCTTCACCAATGGAGATGATCTCCATATAAATCGATATAGAATTGTCTGCTCTACAAAATGAAGTAAGATTCATTTTGGGACCGCCATATGCCTGGCTTATATTTAAAAAGTATTGAGAAAAATGCAAATTTACAAATATGGAATATCTTAGTTTTCTATTATTTAGTCCTAGATAGTTAAACATATTATTATGTCTAAATATATGATCTTATAAAGTAAACATTTCTCTTTCAAATGAGCCATGAACGAACCAAGAAGTTTGATAGTTTTTCAGAAAATCGGACAATTTGTGAAAATTCAGGGTTTTTTTTCTTCGAATGAGACAAATAAAAATAAAATATTCCCAGGACAGCATGGTCGGTGCTGTGGCGAAGCTTTTCTTAAACGCTACTTTTCTTAAAAGCTACTTTACCTACTTTTTGATATAAATCCTACCGTAACGGACTTCAAAATCCTACTCCTACTGCTACTTTTTGATTTTTACTATTACGAAGCCTGAGAACTCCTATCACGAAAAGTGTCCTAGACGGAAAAATGTTCTTTTTTTCAGACAACTATGCTCGCACATGCGCACTTATGTGACGCACGTATCCGTTAGATCCGTCATGATTGATAACCTTTAGAAAAGTATCAAGAAATTATTTAACACTCAAATAGTTTTCAAGTAAAACGCATTTAACAGAATCAAACCGTTTGTTTTCTCAAAACTGTTTTTCACCTTCAGAACTTTCGCCACGTGCAAGAATTCTGAGTAACGATACATCGGAGAAAGATAATTTTTTTGATTCGCAGATAACACCTATAGCTAGGACTTAACAGAGTTTGATTTTTAAATTATGCTTCCATTTTTTATAGAAATGAAGACTTCTAAGAAACCTTTCTAGGATTTTTCGAATTTTGAAATTCTATTAAACATCAGAAATAAAAAAATGCGAAATTCAAAAATCGAGCTCGGTCAACTCCTAACCATAGCTGTTTACCGCAAAATAAAAGTAACCCGAGCTCTCTATCATTTACCTGAAATGAGAATTCGTGCATGTGGTAGAAGCCTATTTTTGCCTCTTGGTCTGAAAAAAATCAGAAAAACGCATTGATACTAGCGCTGTGGTTGGCAACCCTGGTTGCATTTGGCGTCATAAAAGAAATTTCGTTACCACACTTTAACATGGTCAACATACCCTGAAAGTTTGGTTCAGATCCGATCTACCTGGGCTGAGATAGGTTTCTTATTCGAGGGGGGGGGGCCTTAATTTGTACGGAATTCTGTTGAAGGTCAGCTCAATTTTTTCTATTCAAGTAAAATATGCAGTTATTTCAACGTGCAATGATTAAAGGACTATCATTATATGTCAGAACCCGAAATGAATTTAGCGAAGCGAATTGCGACAACATTTTAAAAATCTATACCGGTTCGATTTGGCTGAATTCAATGAAAGTTGAAATTTTTTCTTTGTTTCCTAATCTCTCCGTTCACAATAGACTTCCTCGAGTCAGCACACTTAAGCAGAATATGTGACGTTTCAAATATGAATCAAAGCAAAATAAACAGGGAAAACAATACAAAGTACAATAGAACCATTCACAATATTAGTTTTTATATATTTTTATCTAGCCTAAAAATAATATGTTGTTGACTGTCGATGGATCCAAGCTTGAGCAACGGTAGAGACAAAAATCAAGTTCAATTCAATTCGATTTTCTGTCAAAGCGAATGCCGAATTATTCGTTTGGTTTCAGAGTCGGGATTTTTTATCAGTCCATTTAACAAGACAAAAAGTTGAAAATCACAATCATTAGCACTAGATCAGATGCCCTGTCTTTACACAAAAAAAGAATATAAATACCTGTTTGTCATTGTTTGTGTTTAAGAACGTTTATTAAATAATAACAATAACGACTTTTCCAGTGATACTAATTACATTATCTAATGATAATGCTAGTTTAGTTTGAGTGCCATTTGTAATCATTAATTTCCCATCTCTGTATCGTTGTTTATCGTTTATTTAACCAAAATAATGATTCATTGATTGTCGAATAAATGGTAGTGTATTCTGATATGAATAAATCCAGATGACAATTGTTATGAATACAATATTGATGCAATTGATTTATTTCCAAGTAGCTTTATAACATTGTTGAATAAAATATCAAAATCCACCAAAATTATTGGCTAATTTTTCATTTATGTACATCTTCGGATTATTTATTTCATCTAAAATTTCTTGTTTCTGTATAATAATGTTTATCATAATGCTTTTTAACTGTATCTTTGATTCAGACTACCAACAATATGAGCAATGTACTTTTTCCATTATGTAATCGTCATCTCACTATCTTATCTAAAACATAATTAAAAAGATATCGTTGAAAGAAGGTATTTTTTATCTAAGAAAAACAGAAATAAAAACAGAATTTCTTAAACCTAAAAGATACTGATATCTAAGTTTGAAATTCTTTCCATAGAAGCGAGTAAAACTTGGATGAATTAAAAGAATAATATTACCGCAAATTAGACTAATTTTTCAAAAAACAAATACAAATACAATGCAAAAAAAATTAGCACTATACATACAAAAAGTATCAGAAAAAAAAATTATCCTATGTTTGATAATTTCTCTATGATTTTAGTCAGCCGGTTTTTTTGCTTGACAAAGTGGTTTAAGTTTTGTTAAAATATCTAATGTTGTTAAATTTTTTGCTTTAAACACTGCTTTTGTATTATCAATAAATTCAACTGTTATTAAGGGATCACTCAAATCAGATTTTACTGTTGGTTTTACAAACATTTTTGGATAATTTTTGGCTACACCATCGTCGGTTATTATATGAAGAAAATCACGTGTCTGACGAGAATCTAAACGCCATGGATCAAACGCTACCACGACGGTTTTAATAGCATGAAAATCAAACGTTGGTAAAAAATGTTTGATTTCACGTGCCAACCAATTTGACATCTGAAATAGAACAAAACAATGATATATAATTGTATAAATGTCCACATTCGATCGACAGTCTCACTTAAGATCGAGATGGTTAGAAATTCCTATAACAACAGTTTAGTTAGACTGTCTGTCTGTAAGACTTTCTAATTTTTTTTATCCACCATTTTCTGTCGAAAGTTTTATTGACTATTACCAAAAGGGAGAAAAGCGACAGACATTTGCAAGTATTCTCATCCCTCCAAACGTTTCCTCATCAACTTTTAAAACTATTTTTAACAATTATAGTTCTTAATTAATGTACTGAAACAGATTTCATTTTCTTAAGTCAAGAAGTATCAAACACAAAGAGAAACACTTTTCCGTTTCTTTAAGACATCATAAATAGTTTCTATTTTGACGTGATGAAACAACATATGGTTCAGCGTTATTTTTGTTTATTCATTCTTTGGACACGTATTAAAGAATCAGATAAAAGGTGATTATTGTTAGTCGTTAGATATTATATCGCTGTTTGTTTATGTATCTTTTTCAAAATACGATGTTGATCATTATTTATTTCAATAACTTTTCAAGAACAGTAGACATAGTTTTCGCTATTTTTAGCTAGGAGCTGAGACTACAAGTTTACGAAAACCAAACGCAAAACATCACCAGGTGTTATACTCTTTGGAAGATAAAATTAACAGTCTATATCTTTCTACCCTAACCTATATATCTCCCAATGTGTGTATATTCAATGTACATTCATGCAAATTCATCCTCTTCGTTTATCACGATTTGTGACACAAGTCATTTTTTCTGTGTGCTTAAAGATCGTTTTTAGATGGCTCAAATAAATCTTAAAAAGTAAATGAAAATGGAGATTGTTGTTGATTTTGAACCGAGCGACAATGTTTATTGTCGAAAAAAGCTGAAAGAATATAGTGAAAACCGAATTTTTGAGAAAATGTGGTATTTGTTTTTTAGGAGATTTGGTACAATACTTATTATTAGTGCAGCATTATTTTATCATTTCTTCGAAATTTATTACTCAATTTGCATTTTCGAGCATTGATCCAATAGGAAATACATGATATTCATTCTAATGACGATACAATATAAATGAAAATTCTCATTCTCGAATATCTAAAGCATCGGAAAAGTTGATGTGCTTTAGTACAAAAACTGAAAGCGAAAAAAATATCATAGAATTAAAATGCCTTAAACACAGCATTATGATAGGAGACAGGAGAGTGTTTCACAGAAATTCTCAAGTGCTCGATTTAGACTTAAGTCTCTGTTTTGTCTTAAGTTAAGCTAGACTTAATTTTTGAGTATTTCTTAGTTAACTTTGTTTAGACTTAAGCCCACGCTTACGTTAATACTAGTCTGTACAAGTCGTAAATTTGTCTTAACTCTTGCTGCGGTCGGGTATAATATGATATAAAAATTGAAGTATTAGAGTAAATAAACAACATTTTTTAACTGTTTTTCATTGACACTTGTATTTTGCGAAATAAATAAAAGAAATAATGGTGCTAGTTAATCAGTGATTGTTGAGGAGGGCGTTACGCCGTGAAAGAATCTTTTTTGACGGACAAAACCCTACGGAAACCATGACAGACGATTTACTTATGGCGCGTTATCGTTTTCCACGAAAGATCATTTATGAACTACTCGACGGTGTTGAACCTCTGATTCAGCCAGCAACCGATTGTAGTAATTCAATATCTGCTTTGATGCAACTTTTAATCGTTCTGATACAGTTAATATTCTTTTGGTGAAAATCTCGTTTTTTTTTACGATGGAGAAATTTGAAAAAAATCGAGATTGTCGAATAGAATGGTGAGGAATCTTAGTGAGAGTTTGAATTTCTGGCACCTTATTTAAATAAACTGAAAACTATGTACGAATAGAGAAAATAATAAAGTAGAATATGTAAGCATACAAAAAACATGAACAGAAAGCACATGCCATACATATATAACTTCCATCGACAGTAACAGATGTTAAATGCAAATGAACATTCTATAAAATATGCATAAACGCATAACACATTATTTCACTTACAATAATGACATCCGCATTTGGTGTCGGAATGTCATCATCATTAAACTGATCGATATTATTATTATTATAGCGAGTTGAATAAATATCGGCATATCCCAGTGAATCAGAATTATTTAAAAGAATATGAGAATTACGGATGTTCGGTTCTCATGAAGAACCGGAAATGCGGTTCTTTTCGCTTTGGTTCTAACTTGAGAACCGGAACCTCTGTTTCGGTTCCGGCAACGAGAACCGAACATCCCTAATGAGAATGCTATCTAACAGTTTGGATACACCGTTTACTATTTGTTTGTTTTTTTAATTTTTTTTCCTCTTTCTCCTATATATTTTCATACGCTCATGCCATATCCGAATTCTATTCTTTTTGGAAAAAGTACAGTAGAGTGCAATGCATCTATGTGCCAGTTAAGTGCATGGACTTAACTTAAGACCGTGCGACTAAGTTGTGAACTTAATTTTAAGTCAAACTTAAGTTTGAAGTCGTGAAACACTTTAAGTTCGTCAGCTTAAATTTGTCTCAAACTTAGATAAGACATGGACTTAAGTTGATGACTTAAGAATTTCTGTGAAGCACCCGCAGAAAACGTTTTAAGTATTCGCTAGTATTCCAAAGTATTCAGAATATTTGGAATACCCCCGAATCCGCTTTCCCCCCCCCCCTACCCCGCCATTGCTACTACCTGCTTGTCAAGATTGAAGTTATTAGAATGTCCACAGCTAGGCAACACCTAAACGCACGGAGTGATAAAATAATATTATGTTGTAATCCGTGCTTTGCATATTTCTACTCTAAGTTATTCATGTTGTTCGGGTTTTCGTGACAGTAAAATAAAATTGCTCACAAACGAGGAGACAAATGATATTATACAAAAGTTTAGCCGCAATTTGGAAAAGAAATTTAGAACACTTACACTTCTTAATGATGTTGTGTTTGCAAAAATTTAATACTTATTGTACATCTGTCTCTTCTACTCGCATATATATATATATACAATAAATCAAGATAAATTACAACAATGCTGTAAAAGCTCGTGGGAGCCAAAATAACTTCGTTCTAAAATCACTTTTTCACCATTGAACATTTTGTAACTTGAGTCTCTACGTCAAAATGGTTTTAAAAAAAGTTTTTCCAGTTAAAAATATGTTACAGAATATAAATCTAGTCAAATTCCAGCTAACACGGATATTCTGATTAACTATACTATAGTTGACGCTAGTATACAGTGTAGCTTATTCTGCTTTCTATCTGGCATATATATTACAAATTTCTCTTTCGCTGCTTAGCTTTATCTACCCATCTCTATGGCTACAAAAATAAGGAAATATCCTTCCACATAAGATAACCCACATGTAGCCATATTTGTCGTCTCCACGCGCCGATAGAAATGCAAGAGAACAGGAAGATATGCATATGTGCGAAAAGAGATCCCCTTATTCTACATCGGTCGACTTTCTTGTCCTATTTCTTGCAACATTCTTGTCTCTTGCCATTTGAGACAAGAATCTTTCAATTTATCTTGATAGATCTGAGAAAGTTCTTTTAATTTGTAATTTTTCATCTTTTTTCGTGACAGATTCTTGTCCGAAGTGGCAAAAGTCATTGACGATAAAATCGCCAATTTGTTTCATCCATATCGGTGATAATAAGTACAATATAATTTAATACTATGCCTAGATGTCTGAAAAAATTCTTTTAAATCTCACAAGATTCTTATCGACTGGTAATCGAGTCATTATATGTGCATGTATTAGCGTCAGAGTGGCTACACTGGTCAACGTTCTTGTGGTTATTTTTGCAAGGTTCGTGTTAGCATTTCAGACAAGAATCTTGATTGAATTCACAAGAAACTGGCATAAATAAACAGAAATCATGGGGACCTTGTGCGCCTGCCATTTGCACCTAGCTTTCCAGCAAAATATGGAAAAGTGGTTATCAGACATTCTATGGATGAGCCAATCGCAAGAGAGAAAACCAGAAAATTCTTTTTTAATCACGAGAGAGAAACTATTCGAAGAGATGGCTGATATATCTACTGATGCAGACAGAAAAAGTTGAGCAAACGTTTTCTGTAGGCCGATGATAGATGTCGCCGGAAATCAGTCAATTTTAATAACACAAAAAAAGTCATCTACGGATAAAAAAACTTACATATTATATTAAACATAAATAGTTTTTGTATAATTTCTTCATAAAAATGAGCAAATAAGAGGAACTAAGTCGTTTTCGTATCGCACTTCTAGTACATTTCTATTATATTACATCTTTCTCAGACAGGCTTGGTGGCAGCCAGCTTGTAGAATATTATACTTTTGACCTTCCTCGCAGCCAGTGCAGAAAAATATTCATGTTGGACAAAGGTTCTCAGGTTTTCGAAAGACATTTACAAAGTTTGATTCTATTAGAATAGCGATTTGTCATACTACGACGTCATTGTTGCTCATCCTGACTCATTTGTTTCAGTTTAATGAAGTTATTAGAAAAGTTTCCGGTTGTGTAGTCAAAGAGATTAAATCCAAATACTTATAATTATTCTATTCACACAGATATCAGGGGTCATAATTGCGATACAATTATTAAGACTTTTAAGGATTTACATTATCTTCGTATAGTTTGAAGCTAAACACGGAAGTGGAAAAAATTGTGAAAACCGTCAGTTTTACTGAGTTGTTGTAATGTAAATACTTGCTTACTTATTCATCATATGCCAATATAGTTATCTTGATCTCTTCATCTAACCAGAGCGCCGTTTCTAACGAATTCGTAAGCGAAGTAAGATTTGATCGCCATATGTGACAATATTGTCAGAAATGGATCAATGATTTGAGATTTTTTTGTCATTGTTCTTTTTGTATTATTTTTTTTTTTTTGTTCATATCATTGCTTATCTGATAGACAAGTGGGCTGGGAATAGTGAAAAAATCGATTCTCTTTTCTTTGACTCTCTTCATTTAATCTTGGAAGTTCATAGTTATTCTCTAATTCTGTTTCTTTTTCATTCTCTCGCACCGTAGATATTAATACCATATCATATTCTCTAAGTGAGTAAGTCGGAAGAAATATTATAATATTCTAAAATTCGCGAAGCTTCACAGCTTCTTTCTATCTTTCCTCTGTTTATATTACGATGAACAAAAATAAGCGACCAATTAACAAATAAATATCATTTTCTTTGAAAATGGGAATTTTTTATTTTATAGAAATACAAAATTATTTAATTAATCACTTGTGACGTTATGTCATGTCATAAAGCAAAACATTTGTCAAAGATATAAGAGAATTTTATACCATTTGTATAATGCAAAAGAATGTAAATTTATCAATGTTCATCACTTCTTGAAATATTATATTTATTATTTTTGTTGGAAAAAGAAAAAAAATCCTAAATAAATAAATAGGCAACCGTAAGAAGTTGCTTATATTATAACGTTGTTAATTTTATACATGACGATTAATTATAAAATTTACAAGTGTATAATACTGGAAAGAGACAGAGAGAGAGAGAGAAAAATAAAATACAAAACAATGAAGTGCATAAAAGCGCAAAATCAAAGAGAGAATAATCAATCACACACACACAAAAAAAAGTAATAAAAATATGTGAATAGACAAATAGAATAAGAATTGTAATCTCCGAAAGCTAAAAAACAAACACGGCATGGTGCATGAAGAAGAAAGAGAAAAAATAAATTCCATGAGCGAAAATTGAGAACCAAAATTTTGTTTTTTCGAATAGTGTTCTTATACTGGGCATAGTTTATGGTTTATACAGTTCGCTCAGTCTGTTTGTATTATTGCAGAAAGAAAGACTAGTCGAGCGAAAACACAGTGAGAAGAAAATAAATATACGCCTATAATCTAGATGAAAGTGATTTTGTAGATTTGATTGTACTTTGTGATCCAAATGAGTACGTACTATCATTTGAACTAAGTGAATTTTTTCGTTTTTGTTGAACAACGGTATAATTACTCATCAAAGAGTTTGCTGAAAATAATTTATACCAACCAAGTACATGAACACTAAGATTTAGATCGTCTAAATTAATTTGACAGACGCCCATAAAAACTTTTCGATCAAGTTTACCATAATCACCCCAAACACTTATCTAAATTAAAATGAAAACGTTATTAGTCGGGTCTTCCATCCATCCTTAGATGCGTGAGGCAAATCCCTAAAAATATTCGAATTTTTTATATAAAATGAACTCATCTGTCCCATCAAAACGCTCTCTATGTTCTCACACAATCTGCTATCCGTTATTTATTCTTTTGAATAGTGTTTCATGTTCCTTGTCGCTTTTCGACAGGAACCTCTAGCTTTTCGTCTCCAATTCATTTTTTTTCAGTCACAATCTCTTAAAATTTAAGAATGCACCCTTGAAATTTTTGTTTAAAGCAATTTGCTTCAAGGATGTCATAGGACGAAAGCTCCTGGTTATTTAATTTATTAGTCTAATCAAACGGTGCTTCATTTTATCAGCACTTTGATATAATCAATGAACTGTTTCTCAACGACCGATTATATTCGGATGCGCATCAAGCATAGATATACGAGTTCAGCCACTTCGACCAGACTTTATATGCGTACATACAATCAAAACATCGTTTATTTCATATTTGAAATAAATTTAACTTGTATTTTCAATAACTTCTAATGTATTCGATCTTACCTGTAGAACTTTCTGTCTGTAATTTTCCTTAAATAAAAGTGGTTGTTGAATAAGTGGATCTAATGTTCGTCGTGTTGTTCTTGTTCGTTGTTTTTCCACACACGCTTTACCATCTAATAGATAAACTTTGGCGTAAGGAGCTAGAAAAATATATATTTTGTAATCATACTTGAAATCTCTTTTAAGACTCAAAGCAGACCTGGTGGCGTTTTGTATGGAGGTTTTTGCAGTAGATTTCTTGCCCGTATAATTTCTACTTCGAGCATTCCATGCTGATCGTGAAGACCAATTTGAATTTCACCATGACAAGGAGATGCCAATACTTGTCTACCAACTAATTGTCCTAGTCCGAGTCCTTCGATAAATTCACAAAATTGATGCTCATGGGGATTTTTTAATGTACCAGACCATAGTCTAAAAGACAAACGAAAGTAGTTTATTATCTTAGAGAAAATTTAATCACAAATCCATTTTACTTCATGTCATGTGGTAATGAATGATGTTGGGCACGATCATGTGATCGAGCTAATGTTGATTGTACTGGTGTCTGACTCTCAGCTGGAGTTTCATTTTCTTTGCTTGTTTGTCGAACGAGCAATTTGTTTCTTAGATGTGGTTGAACACCAATTTCTTCACTACGCTGGAACCCAAATCTTTTGCCTGCAAGAAAAACATTAAAAAGACGATTTAATTCGAATATCAAGTCCCTTCATCTCTTACCATAGCCAAGAGTTGATGCACTATTACTTTTTTTCGATAATCCAAGAATAACAAGGGCTTTAGATGACATTGATGGACGACGTTTTTTCTGTATTTCCGGCTGTGTGCTTAACACAGAATCGGACAATGTTCCATCATTTTTTTCTCTTTTTTCCAGCACATCAACTGGGGTAGATGAAGAAGATATTTTTGTATTATCAGTTGATGTTCCCGTTGGGGGTGGCATTGTGGAAGAAAATAACGTTTGACCACTGCTATCCATTGTCGTATTTGCCATTTGACGTACTTCATCTTCATTCAATTTGTTCGGTTGATTAAAATCTGTTCCACTTGATCTAGAAATAGGCAAAATTCAAATGATTCTCAAGTGTCATATTTTAATTAGGCAAAAAAAAGGGATAAAAACATCATAGAATTTGTATTTACCCTATTTTACGACTTCCATGTGGACGTTCAGACTGTGTCGATAGCATACTGACAGAACTAATTTTTGATGCTGTTGATAATTCGGATGCATCTGAATCATATTCTCCTGGTTCTGATGGGTCTTAAGTAAAAATTAGACACTAGTTGCAGTATATACAAACAGAATAATTTTCTCCATACCTTTTTTCTTAGTTTTTCGATATTTTTCATCAAATGATGATTTTAATTTTGTTCGTTCCATATCTGTTCGCTGTGACTTTTTTACAGTAGGTGACACCGATGGAATCATAAATGAAGCTAATTGTTCAGTTGCTGCTGCCGAGGTTTTATCTCGCATAATTGGTATTTTTAAACGAGATGTTGTTTGATCTTTTAAGCCTGTTGTTGTGTGAGTGGTTGCTGCTAATGATGATGGCTGTTTCCCGGTTGTTCGGGATAAATTAATCATTGATTCAAATACTTTTGAATTTCGATAGGGTAGCGTTTGAGATGTGGTAGGTAACACATCTGATTCAATTGATTTACTTGACTGAAATGGACGGGATGAGGAACGTGACAATCTTTCTGGTTCATGTTGTTGTCTTCGAGGATGAACAGATGGCAAATTAGCAGGGTACTGTTGTAATTGACTTGTTATTTGTTCTGGTATTGGTTTAGTTTGATCAACAGATTCAAATTTTTTTGCTTCATTATCAAAGCGTCTAAGTCGTTCTTCATACATGATTCGTTTTTGCTGTGCCAATTCTGACCGATCAGAACTTTTCGCTCTCATTTGTTGTTGTTGTGCAGTTGACGGATGTCGAACGTTAGATGGCAAATTGATCGACGAATTACTAAATTGACGTGGATACGCAACTGTATTGTTGCTATTATCATCGTACATCAAAGAACGCCTACGTTCCATATCCGGCTCATTTACATCTTTATTAACGTTTTCTTCTAATTCTCTTAAATGTAACTTTAATTTCAATTGTTTCGCTTTTTCTAGTATATCTTGTGATACTAAAGAAAAAAATCTCAAACAAAAATAGATTATCATTTTATCGATACTTTAGACATTCTTACCTCTCTCTCGACTTGCTTGTTGAGCAGCTAATGGAATAACCGGTAGTTGACGCTTTTTACTTGTTGAAGTGCTACAAGAAAAGAAAAAAAGGTTACATAAAGTCAATTTCTACAAATGATTGACTCTTCTTTACCTGTCTATAGTAGATTGTTCAATATTACTTGTTTTTGCTTTTGATAAAGCAGTAGACACATTCAATATAGTCTGTGTTTTGGATGTACTACGTGCTAAATAAAAACATAAAAATGTAAAATATAATTTCATTACTAGATAATAAATAACTTACGTGTGTCGAATTCAGATATATCACTGTCACTTCGAACTATTGTTGTTTGATCAATGCTATGTTGTTGTAGATGTTTCATGAAAGATTTTGGAATAAAATGATACCATTCAGGTGATCCATTTAAATTCACTTTGTTCAATGATATGGGTATCTAAAAAGAATAATATAAATATATTTATTTTAACCAAACATACAAAAAACTATTCAATCATACTTCAGCAACAAGTTCATTGCTTTTGTCTACGTCAATGATTAAAACGTTCACTGATAATGTTTCAATATCATCCACGTCAAAAAATCTCAGTCGTTGATTCCACATGCAACATCCCTCTGATGAACATATACGTGGCTTTGTACATTTTCGTTCTTTCGAACTGTAAAAAAAGAAAGAAAAGAAAGCATATATATTTTTGTTGATAATAATAGAATCAAAATGGAACATACCCTCCTTGCAATGATAATTGACAGACAAGAGAACCAAATGAGTTATCTCCACTTGATAAAAGATCTTTAGCACCGTGCACAGATATGTGCAATTCTTTATGTAGTGAATCATATTGAAACCGAAGCTAAAGTTAAAAACAAAATAAATAGTCATTAGCAAAACAAAAATGAAGAGATTCACATACCTGTAGACGAGCCCGATGTGTATTCTTTTTAGCAATGTGTGTAAATAATGTATTATTGACATCTGACGTTCGATCTGTAAAAAACAAAAAAAAAAAAATTATCCAAGTAGTCAGTCATTATTGATGATTTTTGCCTGTTTTCATTAACAAAAAGAAATTTCTATATTCTACTTCTTAACTAATAAAAGGGTACTGTTTTTTTACGTAAATCTAAGTAGTATACTAAAATTCAAACATATCTTTTCTGCGAGCGAAGAAAAACAAAATAGTAAAGATTAATTTCACATGAACAATTTTTACATGTTTTTTTTTTTTTTTTTCTATAAGCATTATGCAAAAATATTTCTATAACATGTTTAAGACATTACAATCTGGTTCTTGTTATAACCATTTTGCTACGTAACAAACACTTGTTGTTTTCACATTGTGAGTTAAATCAATTAAAAACGTTTGCGCTTCATTTAGTTTTCATATATGTAAAATAGAGTAGAAATAAAATGGTGTTGAAAAGAAAGGCATACATAAAGGCAGATGAAAAATAAATAATTGAATCTATTCAAAAAAGATCAATAGACCAGAAGACAAGGAAAAGTGGTTGATTCCGAAACTATTTATTAGCTGCACAATATCGTTAAACTTTAACGTTCAACAGCAAAAAATAAAAACTGATTTTTATTCACCAGAAAATTTTGAGTGAAAAATGTTCACTTTTGTAATGAAAAATATCATTTCAAATCAGAATATAGATAGTATGGAACTGTTAACTGAAGATGAGAATATAATAAAGACTATCGAATACGATGAAATGATTAGAAGTTTTTTTAAGTCATGTAAGATTAATCTCGTCAAAAAGACGTTTTTATATAAAACAAGAAAAGTAGATCTCTAAAATCAGATAAAAAGAAAAGGCAACGATTTGTTAAAAAAAACTTGTTTTTCGTGTTTGCGTTGTTGATGGAGTATCAGTTGATTTATATCTTATACACCAAGTACAACATGAAAAACGTTGACCGGATAGATAATGATTTTGATTTTTCATATAATTAGATGACTGTGTCAAACGTATATTGCTACCGGTTGGTGTTGTATTTGTTTTTGTCCTATGTCGTCTTCCTAATGGAAATGGTTGCTGAAAACGAAAATATAACTGTCGACATGTATTCAATGGCCATGTTAAAAATGATACATTATTATTATCAGTTAATGTGTTTTTAGTTATTTCACTTGGTTGTCTGGATGTATTTAATGAATTATTATCAATAAAATCACCGGGCGTTGAATATTCTTCTGCTATATCTAATTTTGATAGTGATAAATCGGAATCAGATGAATTTTTACGTTGGGATGGTTGAAGAATTCCTCCACTGACGAACTGAGATTGTTGTAAATGAAATTGATCATTGACCTGGTATGGATTATCATTGAATACCATTGTATTATGTTTTTGTTGAGATTGTCGAGAACGATTTGATAAACGCTGTGAAAGATCTCGTACATTTCGAACAAGTTTTTGTGGTGTATTTGTCCATAAACGATATAAATTAGATGTACGATCTTTTACGCTCTGTTGATGTTGTTCAATATGTAATTGTCCATTTTGATCTAACGAATGTATTTGTGCAAGATTATTATTATCACCATTGATTATCACATTTTGAAATATAACTATTTTATTATTACTATTATTATCAGTCATCTACATCTGAATTTATAATGAATTTATCGTTTTAACTTTTAGTTTTTATTTTCTGAGAAAAAAAAGAAAAACAATAATATATACACACGCATATGAGCAAAAAGAAAATTGAGATTGAAGGAGAGAGAGAGAGAGAGAGAGAGAGAGAGAAAGAAAGAATATGATGTTTAAAAGAACAAGAAAAAGGTAGTTGTCGTTTACATAAAGAGAGATAAAGAAAAAAAGAGATTTATTTCGTATTTTTTTTAATATACATCACATTTAGTCCAAGCTGTTGCACGTACAGTTCAGACAAATCTCTTTTTCTGTTCTTTGTCTAATGTATGTATAAATATGCATGTACTCAATAGAGATGTTTGACAGTTCAATGTTGGCAATAGAAAATTTTTATAGTTGGATAGCGGTAGATAAAGAAATTCTGAATGATCACACAAAAACAATAAATTTAGGTTTTTGTTGAGTTTAAATGAGAAATTTTTCGTATTAGACTCTCTGTCTTCAGTTTACTGTTAAATACAGTTACTATTGAGAAAAGAATATTATTGTTGTAGTTATCAATGATCAAACTATGTAAATCAAAAGAGAATTCTTTTCTTTCTGATTATGTAGAAAGAACAGATTTTTCGAAAAAAAAAAAAAAAAAAAACCAACAGAATCGTCTGTTAGCTATATGCGTAAAGCCTGAAGAAAAACTAGAATATCCGTCTCTACAAAAATCAGTTTTGAAAAAAAAAAAAATGAGATTTCTTTTCCTCATATTATTACATATACACATCTACTGAAAGAAAAAAAGGATCCGATTATTGTATAATAAAGAACTTTCTTAACATCAATTGTCGAAAGAACAGAAGAAGAAGACGACAAAGTTGAAGAAAAACAAAAAAAAAAAAAAATTTGTGTGTTAAGTTCAACACGAATTGTTTATTAAGAACACAACACTCACTAGCATGCAATTTCAACAACAACAAAAAGAAATCTTAATTAAAATAAAGAATTAAATTTCCTTTGAACATCAAATTTCATCATGCTTATACAAATTAAATTAGGAAAAATCATGTTAAATAGTCAAATTAGTCTCAAAACTCATAAACCAAAAATTTTCTAAAATATTTAAACACATTAAAATGATGTTTCATCAATATATGAGACTAAATAAACTATTTTGCGCTAAAACAAAAACACAAAACAAAAATGAAACAACCAAAAGTCATCTTTTATCCTACTGTTGAAATTCAATTTATCCTCTATTTATCATCTCTGGGTTTTCTATTTATACTTGTTTATATTAGCGTGATTTGTTTCTATGAATTGTATAAATCACATCGGCCAATTAAAGTACAGGAAATTGATTTGAGACAATCAAGTGATCAATCAAAACGAATTATTACCGTGAAAAGTATTTTACCAAATTTAAATGATTTTTCTAAAGAATCCATGGCGTCAATAACAACAACACAAGAAATGATTGAATTAGAACAACAATATATGAAAATTATTAGTGAACGTTGTGATCAACAAATTGCACGACGAATATTCTATGGTCTAGAAGAGCCAACAATGGCCTTACATTATTTAGATAATGATCGAGAATTTAATGAACAAATTGATATTTATATTATGAATATGAAAGCAAAAACTAAACAAAAAGAATATATTCAACGTAGTCTCGTTACAAATCAAGAATCATATATGAATATAATAACAAATAAACAAAAACAAAATCGTTTACTTTTATCGACTTCATCTTTAACTACATTATCAGATATACACCAACAATATGAGAGCAATGATATGCATATACCAAATATGAATTTTCCAATTAAACATAGAAATTCTGATATTAATAATTAAAACGAAATTTAATTGCAGCATGTTCTCCTGAACACAGTCAAATCTCAAATTAACTCTCTACCATGACACGTATTTTTAGACAAGTTTAACCAAATTCACTGTCACAAATATAGTCTAATGAAAAAAATATTTACAAACAAGAAATTTATGATAATAATTCATAAGAAAATTTTGTCAAAGGATTCTCTTTGAGACTAAAATGTGAAACATCTCTAGTTTTCTTTATGCACGAAAATTTAAACTGAGATTGCTCGAGGCAAAGATACATGCTAAAATGTTACTCTTTAAAAAGTAATAAATTCATGTAACAATTATCGAAATTTTTATTGCTAACTTAATTAATGAATAAAGCCAACAAAATAAAGAGAACAAGAGGCTTTAAAAATCATGATTAATACATAGAGAACTCAGATATAGATAGATTAATACATTGGAAAACCTAATCGAAACAAGAAGTATAGAAATGTGGCGAACATTAGGCCAATTGTATAATAAGAGAAAGTGTTAAAGTGTTATATCGGATGAACTAACGCTAAGCGATCTGATAGTCATATAAATTTCTGTTTTCGAAACAGGGATGGGACAGATGGTAAACAACTGGAGAAATGCACAAAACCGGTAGCTTGTTAGTTTATTGCTATAATTATATTTAATGGGGTTCTGCCGTTGTTATGTATCGCTACTGTGCCATTGTTTGCGCAAATTTTAGCAGAAACTCGTTTTACTCAAAATCGCAGAATATATGGAAAGTTTTGTCATTCGGTTATAAACTTCAAAGCTTTATTCCTTCAGAAAGAGGCATCTCACAAAAGAAATCAAATACATTTATCTACATATGACTGTTTTTAGGATGGAATTAAAGTAACTACTAAAGAAGAAACATATTTTCTTGCAAATGCATATGAAACTCTCTTTTATAATGTTCATAAATTTTTTTGTTCAGAAGGTTCGTTATTCTCAAGTGATCAGATAATACACGCAGCACACGAAGGTAACAATTCTTAGGTATAATCTATCTCAAAATTTCAATGAATGTGAGGTGGAATAAAAAATATTTTTTTGGTCACTCATAATGAAGAAAAAAATAGTACAGTTTAAGCAAATGATTTACCTTGAGAAGAATGCTCAACTGATTGATCTTGACTGGAAAATCTTTAAAAAAGAAGAAAGTAATAGTAGACAATTTTCTCATATATATATATATATGTTAGTTTTTGCAGTATTAATCCTCACCTAACAGCTCGTTTGACAACCATGTGAACTTCGGACGTTTGAGCAGAATTTTGAATAATTCTGTAAACGTCGTTGTAACCCAAATTTGATAATTTTTGTCCATTCCATTCTAGTACTATATCACCTAAAATTAAATATTATCAAAATAACCAAATATTATCTAAAGATTTGAAAGTGCTTACCAACTTCTAGTTGACCACAATTGTCTGCAATACTTCTCGGTGTTACTTTTGTAATTTGAGCAACGATTTCATCATTACCGAGCTGGATACCGCCTTGAATTTTTAGACCTTAAAAGACGAAAACGTATTTTTCAAACTACAACTATAACAAAACGTTGAAAAACATACCCAATGCGCTAAATATTGGTTCTTCACGAGCCCAATTGTTTAGTGTTATATGACCAATAAGGAATGTTTGTGTATCATCATATTTCCATGTAGCGGGCTAAAAAATGAGAACTAGATTAATATTTTCAGCATATCACAAAGAAAATCCACTAAGGACAATCAAAAACACATTAAAATTCTAATAACTGAAGATATTCTTTTGCTTCAATGATAATTATTGCGTTTTTAATATGTTAAAAAATATTCAAGCTATAAAGCGACATATACAACACGAATAACAACTACAACATAGAACACAAAGATTCACGTCACAGATAAAAGCAATCAACTATAGAGACATATATTGACAGGTTGAAAAGAATGAACACCTGAACACCAGGAATGTTTTCTTGTAATTTTCCACCGTTCGATAAACGACGTGCTGCAAGTGAAAGATCGGTAAATTTCTGATATTTTTTCTCGGTAGAAGTGGTTGTATTTAATATTGTGCTTGAACTGGCAGTGTCGATACCAGAATCTTTTAAAGTTCCATCTAAATGCCAATCAGGCATTTCTTTTTCTTCTAATGAATGACATTGAAATTCACGAAGCAAAGATGAACGTTCATAATTATTATTATTATTTTGATCTTTGGTTGACTCTGCATTATGAGTCGAACGCGATGGAGGAATATTATCAGATCGATGGTATGATGATAACAGTGATGATGGCTGGAGTTCAATGGTTTCTATAGGTAGTTTTTTATCATCATCTTGTTTGTTTATTGTCGATATTTGTGACGAAGAAAATGTGGGAAAAGAAGAATTTGATGTGGCAACATCAAGAATACCATTACTTTTCACAACAACAGGCTCACTGTGACGAAATCGAAAATTTTTACTTGAGAGCAATCCGCTCCCTATAGAGAAAATGAAAAGAGCAAATACATTTAGCAGGTTTAATCATATTAGCCAATCTATTCTTTCCTACCACAAACACCACTGTAAAGTTGATATATTATGTGTTTTTTTAGAAAAGCAACTTCACAACGAACGGTTTAAAAGAAGAAACGCATGGATCTGATACAGAGGGATAAACAATGAGATTTGTAACGTGTAAATATATGTATATATGTGCGTGCATATATATATATGTATATATATAGATGTAGATATATATAAATATATATAGAAAAATAATCGATAAACTATTTATTAACCGTTGTTAGAAAGTTCTCTAATTTGGCAGCCAATATTTGGTCTTTACGCCATTCGTCAAGTGGTCCCAAATTAACGCCTGGAAGATTTATATAAATTAGAAATATAATTATTTATACATTTCAAGAGAAATTGTAGACCTCTCCGTGTAATCAATTTCTAATTATAAAAGAAATACGACTTCATTTACAACTGCTAAAAGTAACTGAGATTAAAAGATAAAAAAAATCTAAGGTCACTAGAAGAGTCTAACACAAAGTGTTTAATCTGTTATGAGTTAATGATTGAAATCAATTGAAATTTATACTACATACCTCTGTTAGAAATACAGGTACTGCCACTTTCGAGTTCATCAACATCTGAGCTAGAGTTTGATGATGATGGAATATTATCATCGGAACTTGACTCTTTTTCTACAGATAAGCCGTTTCCTCCGATTGATGTCGAGCCTTGATTTGCATTAGCATTTAAATTAGATGTCTTCGAAGATACAGAATGTTGTTTGTTTAGATTTCGATTTGAATGAGCACCAGATGAACGATAATGTTGTGCTGAACGATGATAATGTGTTTCTCGCTGATTTGCCGTTGTATTATTAGCACCACTTTTATTCGAACGAAATGCTTTAGGGCTTGACCGAAGTGTGATTTGTTGTTCATCAGATGTCAAATTTGATGGGTGTTGTTCCTGTTGTTGTTCATCTTCCTCTCCTGCATCAATTGAAATCATCCGTTCGATTTGTCGAGAACGTTGTTGTTCTCTATTGTCAGTAGGGTTATCGTACCGTTCTATACTTTGATTCATGTTGGACGGGCTGGAAGACATGGATGACGAATTTTGCCGTTGAACTCGATTAAACACCGGCAATTTTCTAGACGTCGGTAGTGGTTGAAGTTGCCCAGTAGAAGTAGTTTCTGATGCACGTTGAACTGGAGATTTCGTTTCTGACGACGGTAATTCATTCATAAAAAGTATATTATTATCCGTCGTCTTACTTTTCAATTCTTCATTCAACGTCACAGTCGATAAAGGACGATTCGAATCGAACGGTTGAGATAAAATATAATCAGAAACATACTGTTTCGATATAGGACAATTCGTTTTCGATCGATCAGATAGAATATTTTCTTGTGCATTAGTTGTTGATAATTGTGAGGCTGATTCTGTGGAAGTCATTGAAAAACGATTGTGAGCACTGGAAAAATATAGCTCTTGTTTGTGCCTGCACATCTTGCATAGCCAATATGTCTAACAGAAAAAAGAGAAATATAATCGAGACACACAAAATGATTAAAAAAAATACCTGATTTTGAGGACCTTTCAAGCGTACTCCACATCGAACACAAAAACGTTTTTTACAAATGACACATTGTCTAGCTGCATTTTCATCAACAAATTTGGTTTTTAAACATAATTCACAACAAACGCCTGATTCAAGACCACTCTGATCCGATGGTTTTCTCCCGATAATAGCAGGAATCGGCATAGCACTTTCGTCCACTTTTGTTCTTCAAAAGAAAGTGCAAAGACAATAGAAGAATGCTAATAGTTCAGTACTGTTCTACACATACTGCAACATAACAGCATCCCGTTGTTCTTCGGCCATTTGTCTCATCATCACCGCTTCAATAATTTTTCGTTCTTCATCCGTCAAATAACTTAGATCCGGCATTTGACTATCCATAGTCCGATCATTCAAGGGTTGATTAATATGTGATGAAAATTAATAATCTACGAGCAATGTACTCTGTTTGAGCCCCATGATGTGACTAGAATGAAATATAAAAAATGTATTATAACAAATTTCACAAATGTAACGTAACAAATTTCACACTGATAAGCTACATGTTGTAATCAATATGTTACCTCTTTGTTTGAACAAATTTGATCATGCTGAACGGCGCGTTCTTGTAAGCGACCGTATTGATATCGGACTTTCCCTCAGGACGCCATATATCTATGAATAAAAGATAAGTTATCAAATCTCAAGCGCTTCATTAAGAACACAAAAAACATCTCGAAAATGAATTCGTTTAGCTAAAACTTATCTCTTAAAAAAAAGAGTATGACCACATTTAATTTTTCCTATGACTGAGATTTGTTGAGTTATACGAGCAGTAATTAATAAAACTTATTCTAAATATTTTGAATAATATCGCACTTATCTTTAATGTAACACATGAAATCAAAGCCAAGATTCACTGATACAGTCAAATAACTTTGACATCCGTATTTCTTCAGAAAAGTTATATCACCTAATTAAAAAGATGGTGCTACAAGAGAGTAAGGTATTTTTTCGATGTCTACCATGCTCAGAATTTTTTCTCTGACGTAACATTCAACCTCAACGGAACGTATAGTTGAAAATCTTCTCTAATACTAACAATAAATCACAGATTTTGGAAGAAATAAATAACTTTGTGCACAAACGAGAATATTTTTGACGAAAGATTAAATAATCTGCTACAATTCAACTGTCTCATTCAAAACATTCTGAAAGAGATCAGAAGAAAGCGTCAACGAGTAACAAACTACGCTTTGTGATTTTTTTCTCCTGCGCATCCAAAATAAGATTTTTTTTCATCTAATCCAACGAAGCCATTTCGATCTTCCCTTTAAAACTTTACGTTAGTTCTACAATTAAACGTAAAGCATAGGTTCAGAAAAGTATGTTTTCTTCAGAAATTTATATAAGATCGAGACAGAAACTGTTTTTAAAACTATCAAAAAAAATAGTTTGTCGTTCAGCGACATCTATGTTACGATTCTGCGCTAGCAACAAACATATGATAGTTCGCTCATGCTTATCACCATATTTGGTCCCAACTATTAGTTGCCAACTCAAAAGCTAAGAAATCAGAAAAAAAACCGCCTAAAAATCAGAAAAGCAAAGTGTCAAAAATCAGAAGACATATTTTTGTGCCCAAAACACAGGAGAAACGATTGCATTTTAATTTTTTTTAAAACATCTTCATTTGTCTCTTTTTTTTTCTTTCTTTGTCCCGTATGGTTTATAGAAGAACTTCAACTTCAACTGTATTCGGAAAAGAAAACTGTTCTATTTTTTACAGTTTATACATATACGTTACAAATTCAGCTGAACAGAATGAGAAAAAACAAATAAATGAAACAAATGATTTCAATCAATACTCAGTGCTTTTGCTTTAGTATGTTTATATTTCTGTTGAGATCGTACTGTTTTCAATAGCTCTGTATTCGACAAAATAGAATTGTAAAATTGTTCACAAGTAATATTACAAGTGCTATTCAAAAAAATTTTTATGAAATCTTGATATTTCACAGTTTTAACATGTTTATCTGAATCACTCATTCCTCTAGCACGAACGGAAATGTCCGTGTTACAAGCTGAGCATCTTGCTTTAGTTTCATCATGATTAGTTATTCAAAAAGCTGAAGCAAACAAAATTAAAGCTGGCAAAAATGCTGAATATTTTGGTTCTCTCAATCAATCTTTGTTAAACATGCCTTTTGTTTTTTCATTCTACTTTTATTTTCTTTGTTTTCAACCGAAGCTATGAGAGCTTTAGCGCGCACAACGTCAATTGACAATTCCGTCACATTTAAGAAACGAGCTAATCTAAAACGTGTTGTTTGTATTCCAAACTGGTCGCTTGCAATCTAATTATCAACAACCCTCTCATTCGTGAAAATAATAGTGTTATGATCGAAGTCGAGCACATCCAATTAAACCAATAATTCAGGTAGTGTAGACATACATGGAGATATTGCGTCAGCCTTTTTCCCAGAAACCATCTTTTTCAGCACTAATTAAAAAGGTTAAAAATCGGAAAAAACCTCCAAAATCAGAAGAGTTGCCAACCTTGATCTTGTCATACAACTTGTTATGTGCATGCTCTCGTTTGTATTGTCTACTGTTGGAAGAAAAAGAAATTAAATATTAATTTACAAACCTGTCCAGTGTAAACTATGAATTGATTGTTGGAATTTTTTATTAAATAAATAATGTCAAAATGAATCGAAAATTATTTTATAAAATGGAAAAAAAAAATGAAAACTAGAGCTGAACCGATTAAAAATATTGTTCATAAGCGTATGGACGTTTCGGATATAAAAAATGAAGACCATTAAAACACCAACAACATCATCGTGTCATATCAAAGTCTAGCATATTCTTTTTGAAAGAAATAGATGACGAGCGGTAGATCAACAAAACTAACAACAAATCTTTACAAAATAAGAAAAGATTAACAAAACCACCGAGAGTGTGAAAAATGCAGTATACAGTTTATCAGACAAACCGAAAGACAATAAAATCACAAGTAACAAATAATTGTGAAATGTCGTAGAAAAAAACAAATTCGTATGTCTAAAAATAAATAAACAGCAACGGTTGTAATAAATAGATATTGTGAAAAACATGGGTATAAAAAAACGAAACGAATTAGAAAATATATATAAACAATTTTGTTTTATGAAATATATAATAGCACTGCCATAAAAACAAACTACAAATACAATATGAACGAAACGAGATATAAAAATAATTATGGACATTGCACATGCAAAATTCCACTACCACTTATCAATTTATACTTTCAATAATAAAATAGATATGACATACATAAATTACCGATTAAACTAAATAATGCGCCAATTAAAAAAATAACATTAACACCAAATTTGTCGACAAGAGGACCTAAACTTATTGCCATAACAAATTCACCAAGAAAATAACAAGTATTCAATAAAGAACAATCAACTCCAATTCCTCTTTTTGAGCCATCTTGAGCATGATTTACGTACTAAAAAGAAGAAAAAAAATATTTTCTAATCTACAAATCGATAAGCTACAATATATACATAATGAACTAAAATGCTTTCTTTGATGAAAAAATGTTTTTATTATAGTTTTAAAACAATAGTTTTTTTCTAAGCATTGATCATTAAAGTACTTAATATACCTTTTCATCTGTATGAAATTGTGATAACATATGGTAAGGTAATGTGTTCAATGTAACAACTAATACACCAACTAAAAAAAGAATCACTATGAATATATAGAATCTTCGTATTAGTGTTTTTTTCAGATATTTACATGTGATACACATCAGTAAGTTAACAACGACATTATGAACATAAAAATTGACGATACATCCACAAGCATAGATAAAGTAGCCAATAAAATAGAGTGTTTTCTGGTCAAATATGTTACTTAGCCATCGTTCAAGGCAAACTAAAATGGTTAAAATGATACTTTAACACATACGACTGTGCCGAGTAAGGTACGAAGCTCATTCCTAGAACACCCCGGCTGTGGAACAAGATCTCTTTTTATACGAAGCATTGGTCAAAACACTTACATGCATAAGCGGCACTACTTGCTGCATACAGAAATAATCCCCAACATCCCATTTTAACACCTTTGTTGTAAAGTGGATCTGATTCTGATGATGCTCCATAGACAACCTTTATTTTAAAAAAAATAAACGAAATAAAAATTATGCGAACATATTTTGATCAGGAAGTGAATATACGTACTTGTGCCATAAAATCGGTAAAATAGAGATGTGTTGCAAAATAACCTATCCATCCAATTACTTGACATATCATTAATTTCCACAAAGGTGCAGGCATCTAATTAATTAAAACAATAAAGAGAAATAGCCAATGACTAATTTTTATTGACATACACGTAACATTGATTTGAATAACGCACGAACAGTTACACGATCTTTTTCATCAACTTCTTCGACATCAGTTTCGTCCGCTTTACGACGCATAAGACCTGAAAAATAATAGAGTCATACATGTTTTGTAAATCGAGACTTGAATAAAAAACTGGTACCCAGTTTGACTAATTTTGCTTTTTGTTTTAATTCTGCTGCAAATGCTTGTGTTGGAACAGGTGCATTCGTCAGGTCTTGATTTTCGTTGAATGCTTCGTTTAATGCTATAGATTTTTCAATTGTTTTCATTAAATCCTCATCTGTATGTTCACTATCATGTCTTTGATCAAGAGGCACTTTTTCTCCCGAAATAATGTCAACTTCAAAAAATTCATCGTTTTTTATTTCATTCAAATATGTGCCAATTGATTGTTTCGCAGGCGCTAAGCGTTCAGAACTTGTAGTTGGAGAAATACGACGAATCAATGGTTGTCTTTCGTTATCTGTTTCATCATCTTCCTCGTTCTCAACACTTGCTGAATCACTGTAGGATGTCGTCGATGATAGTGGTTCTTCCTTGACACTCGTCAACGTTGAGATCGATCCAATAACAAAAATAACCGTTGCTATTATAAAGATAATGCGGGTTTCACCACCGATTCGTGTAATAGTTGAAAAATTCTCCCAAGGTAACGCACCAACTAGAAAACCAAGTCCTCCTCCAGTGCCTGCAACAAATCAACGAATGCCATTCTATTAAGACTACAACTAATATTTTAACATTAAATTACCTCCGAGCATAGCATGGAGATTAAAACCACGTTCTTGATCAGCTGAATTGGTATTATCAATAAGATATGCACGAATTGGAGCGTCTATAAGAATACACCTGTTGTTTTAAACATAACGAATGAGAGTTGACGGCAGAGTTATGTTACCTGCTGAATCGGCACAAAAGTCCAACAAAGTGACACCAACGGCAGTTAATATTACAGCTTTATACGGGATCTACAACGCTGTGAAAAGTTAATGTGGGAAGGGATATTAGAAAGTAACTTAATGTATCACTGCATTGTACCTTTGTATGAGCATCACCAAATAAAAGTCCTAAATCTGAACCGTTCAAAAGTAACAAGACACCGATATAGGCACCTAAAACATTTATATACAGATTAATAATTAAAAACAGCAGAGTAAAAATTATTTTATTCACCAATAGCAAATGCCAATATAAACGGTCTCCTGCGACCCCATCGACATTTACAACTGTCACTAAATGCACCGATTAGTGGTTGCAGGAAAAAACCAAGCACAGGTGAAATAAGCCATGCCATTGAGAAAAAACTAAAAGATGATTAAATAGTCATGATATTGAGATAATTAAGCAAAAGTAAATGATACCTAAAGACTATCTTATTTTAAGCAATACTCGGAATCTCATTAGTTATCAGTCTAATGTTAGTTACTATTGTTTAACAGTTGACAATCCATTTCTTCATGCAGTCACATATCTAGTTGTTTATAAGAACGATATGCAACGCTCTCAATCAATCAACGCAGTCTATTGATCTAACTGATTTAGTTAAAAAGGATGAAAGTCTTACCTTTCTGGCACTCGGAGTTTCTGAAGAATCGGCACAGTTAATGCGGTTTCCACAGCATACATAAATTCGATGGCAAAAAAGAAAAATACGATTCGAATCAGCACCCATCGACTTTTTGATGGTATATCTTCTAAAAGACAACAAATAAAACGGAGAAGCTCATTTATATGAGTTAGTTATTGATAGTTTGTGGATTATTATCCATAGTTTTCTACAAAGGGCAATAGATAACAAAACGAAGAATTCTCTAAAATGACAAAGGCTCACTCTAGGAACAAGGTAGACTATGGACGCATAATAAAAGTCTTACATAAGAATGAATCATTTTTGTAAAGAACTTGCTATTCAAAAAGTGGTGTGATATCCAAAGAACGTGTTTTTTGTACAAGAAATTCTGAAACGACTTCTTAGCTAGAATCCGGAACTGTGAACTATACTTTTTCTTGACCAATACAAGTGCGAAAAAATGATGGAAAAAGAGTTTGCAGTATATAGGGATGTAGCCGTAGTCTTTGAACGCTGACAATGTTAACTGGCCTAACCGTTGCGGTTCGTTGACGTTTCTTGAAAGTCAGCTTGTCAGAAGACTAAAATTCGATATCTAAGATTGATTTGATTGACTGATTGACTATTTTAACACTTCAAAGTACGGAATGGCTCTTCGAACAAGAATAGTGAAATAAAATGTGAAAAACTATTATAGTGAGAAAAAAATGTTAAAAGCAGTTTTATTCACTATAAAAAAGTTGTTGTTAGAAGAAGTTGACAATCGGGTCTTCAGTGACCTCTAGCAAACCTCATTAATTGAAGTCAATTCGTTTGAATCATTACTTCAAAAATAATGATCAATCTTAGATATCGAATTTGAGTCTTCTGACAAGCTGATTTTGAGGAAGCGTCAACGAAACGCAACGGTTAGATCAGTTGACGTTAAGGGCTACGGCTGCACTTCCAGCGATATGTAATGAATCATAAAGTTTCGTCTAAAGTTTTATTTTAACGGCCTATGCATAAGTTTTGAAAAAAATGTCGAACGCTATTTGTTCATATTTCCACTATTCTGGAGATCTCGCTTTTTTTTGTTTGAAAAAGCAAAGTCTGAACTACAAATGTGCATCAAACAAAATTTTCTCTTGCAAAGCTTTATTGAGAAAAAGTTCAAAAACTAAACATCACTAAAAATGTTCTGGTAATTTGTCAAAATATCCACTCTCTATCTTCTTCGAAACGGTTCTTTTCTTGTTTAAAGGTAAGTTTGAAGAATGAATGATTATTACATCTAACAGTGTTTGAAACTCTCTTTCAAACATAGATATTCAAATAGATTTTCTTTTTATTTGGTTTTCGTGAAGAATCAATTAGTTACCATTAATTGTCAGTTCTTGAATTAACAGATAAATTTTTTCCAATTTTTGAACTGTCTTGATTTCCATTCAATTTTTAACAATCTTATGTAAACTAAAATCTAATCTCATTTACTTCCTGTTTTATGTGACGCCTCTGCTGAAAGAGGTATTTGTAAAAGACGACATCATCTATTAGTTTTGACACCATCGAAAAGATTTTCTTGACATGTTTTAGTAAGATTTTACCAGAACATTTTTAGTGATGTTTAGTTTTTGAAGTTTTACGAGAGAAAATTTTGTTTGATGCACATTTTGTAGTTCAGACTTTGCTCTTTCAAACAAAAAAAAAGCAAAATCTCTAGAATAGTAGAAATATGAACAAATAGCGTTCGACATTTTTTTCAAAACTTATGCATAGGCTGTTACATTTTTTCATCCTAAAGCGAATACTATTTGACTGACAGTTGTCAGATTTGATATAAATATGTTTTGTTTTAACATATATTCATTATTACTACATACTAAAATAGGAATAACACACTTTGTGAGAGATTCAGTTGACAAAAACTTTTTTTTGTTGATTCTTTTGTCATTTTATCGTTTATGCCTTTACATCTGATTGATGTTCTGATTCTATATAGGATATTCTTGTTTGTGCAGAGGTGTTTCCGTTTTCCTTTGTTTCACCTAAGTGACCAAAAAACAACGAGATTTATATATGTTCATAAAGAAAAGAATGAAAAGAAAAGTATTAGCCTTGTAAGTAACGCACGAGTTATAGGATAATAAATCCAACTATCATCATCAATCACTTCAAATGTAATTGTAATAAAAAAGAAAATTTTCTATTATTGCAACAAACAGTCATATAATTACATTTGATTTGTCATTCCACCAAAAAGAAATACATAAACACGTATAAAGAACAACTAACATCATTGTCATTATTCAATACAGCTCAGAAATGGACTTTTTCTCATGGCCAACTATCTCCCAATATCATAAGAAACTTGTTTCATCGACTTGCCAAATTCTTTATTTCATCCATGTAAGTTTTTTTTTTTTTTTTCTTTATCATTGCCAAATACTATCTTATTTTAGTGATAAGATGTACATTGCACGAGTCTTGTATAATATTGGACAAAGTGCAGTATAATACAAAACATCAGGGACAAACAATAATGGAAAATATCTATTTATTTATAATGAATTTATCCAACAATCACACGTAATAGATAATTGTTTTTTTCTGCTCATCGATTTTCTCAATTACCTGTCCTCACGATTTCAAAAAGATAATTAACAATATTGTAAACTGAACTTCCCTGTATGTATCGAGAGAGAGAAAAAAATCGAATTACATATAAATATTTACATTGAAAAAGAACGAAAAGACATTGTAAAACGAACAATATGTTATCTTTCTTTTTTTTTTTGTTTTGCATATCATTGAACGTATATCTCTTGAACAGGTGATATAAAATCATAGGAAAAAACAAGTAAATATATTTAAAGATACAATACCTTGTCACTCGATAAAAATAAAAAAAATAAGTATGTTTACTATTGTTCGACGACAAGAAAAGCGAATGTCATTGTTTGTAATTACAATTCTATCCTATTATTTCTTTTATTATATAAAGAAAATTAAGTAGTTCACTTTTATTGGAAAAATAAATTATGTTGTTTGTACTAAAAAATTAACTACTAAAACATACAAGACGATATGTTTAGTATACAAAGAAAAAAACGTAAGAAACAAATTTATTGTAAAGAATTAAGAAAATATGTCATTTTTAGTAATCTTAAATAGCAAAAAAAAACAGTCTTTACTCTCGTATGACAATAATAATCAAAAAATAAAGAAGAAGAAAATCTGTGATAACTAAAATAATGAACAGTTTAGGATACGAAATAAAGGTTGGAGGTAAGTAAGTTATGTCAATCTAACTATACATGTTGTTAGAAATGTTAAATAATTTTTTTTTCTTCTATGTCTTGGAAAGTCCTTAGCGGTTTATATGGTCCATTTTAAGTGGGTACTTTTGGAACAAAAAAAAAAAGTGACAATATATTGCCTAATGCACGAAACTCAACAAAAAGCCACTGTGTTGCACGACTTTATTTTATGATTATCAAGTGATTACACATACTCTTTCTCTCTCTTTTTTCTAAGTCTCTTTCTATCTTTTTTTTATTTTTATTTTTTATGAATATTTTCTCAGGTTGTTCCAAGATAAATAACTATATTGCACCATTACTATTATTATTATTATTATCAGTCCTAATTTTTCCTTCCGTTAGTACAACAAAAAAAAAAATTGAAGAAGGAAAATAGTTAGGAAAATAAACGAGCGAAAGAGAGACAAATGTTAATCAGTCAATCAATATAAAAAATAATGTAACAACACATCTACACATAAGTTGAAAGTAAATAAATGTCAACATCATCGGCATATTTGCACTTGTGTTTTTGAAAAACAAAGTCATTCATACTACTTTTACTTTGTTTTTTCTTAATTGAGATAGTCACAAATACGCTTTTTTGACATATGATATTATACATATTGTAAGCAGAGGAAATGATTGTGGTGTTTTTGTTATTTCTTTAATAAAAAAAAAAAAAAAAAATATATATATATATATATATGCTCATTGTTCAATTAACTTCGATAACCTTGGAGGATGTGACGGCATATATATATATATAAATATATTCATTTTTTTATTCAAGATTATATTTGTCGTTGATCGATGTTTTAGATGGGATCAATTTTCGATCGAATAAATTAAAAATGAAACGAGGTAAAAATTTAAGCAAAAAAAAAGAACAATTACATTTCGCTTCGGTTTATAATATGCTTGATTGAAATAAACAGGTCTCTTGTGACCAATATTCATCTTCTTCTTTTTTTTTTTTTTTTCTTTTTTTATTCGATAGAAGGAAGAAGAAAACCATTTATTTAAACGAAAAATACCAACAGATCAAAATATCAACATTCTTTTAAATATAATGATGATACTGATGACAACAATATTAATGGATATATCAGAAACTAACGTATCATCAACTGCTCATATTTCATTGATTGTCACTCAAAATTTAACAACAACATTACCTACATCGACATCAACAAGTCATTATCATCAATATTATTATCATCTTAGTGTGGGAAAACGAGTTGTAATATTATTTGGTTCAATATCAACATTATGGTTTATAATGGCTATTATATTTATTTGTATTCAATCATATCGACATTTTAAACCATCTAAAACATATTTTCGATTTCGTAAACAACAACCACAACATTCACTTGAACAACAAAAATCATCAACACTTTCAAATGATGATAATGATGTTGATGATGAACGAACAAGCGTTTATACTGCACTATCATATCTTTCAGATAAAACAGTTGATGTGATAAGTGAAACTATAAGAAAACCCGTAAGTGAACAAATACCAGAAGAAGAAGAAGATGTACATACGGCTGTATTTGGACCAAATAGTAACGATACAACATTAATTAATAGTTATAATTTTTATCCATCTGGCTATAGAAATTATGGTTATTCAAATTCAACATTAACATCATCAATTGATACGAGAACAAAATCTTTATATTATCCTGCTTGTCGAAATTTTGCCTATTCACAATCGACAATAGCATCATCGATTGATTTACATGAGAAAATAATTGCACCACCATCAACACCTGTACATACAAATCATTTATCTGATATTCAAACACTTCAAAATGTACAAAAAAAATTAAATGACTCAACATCAATACAATCATCACGTCCATTAACATGTACTACTCGATTTTATAATCGTATGTTAAAACGTTATTCAACAACTACTGATACATCTGAATCATCTCTTGCATCTAGTCAGATAACACAAGCTACATACATTTCAACACAATTACCAGTCGTAATGGTAACTGATTGTGATCGTTTACAAACAGATATTATTGAACTAGATGATTTTGAACCCGAAAAAGATTGGCGACGGGCAATGGTATCTGAACTACGATGTTTACTAAATGATAAAATGCCTAAACAACATTTTGTATTATCCGAGGAAAATGCTGTAAGATAAAAGAATAAACAAGCATTATGTAACTAGATAATGTGCAGTAAATAATCTTTTAAGATTTTTTTAAAATATAAAGCAGTGCTTTACTTAATCACAAGAAATTATCATCGTGACACATGTTTTATGAAATGCATTTGAAAATAAATTCTAGTGATTATCAGACAATAGGCATGCGTCTGAGAAATATTACGGTTATAATTTCAACATGCACTCAAACTTTTCTAATGTAAAAACGCATTACTTAAACAAATATCATCAGACGATAAATTATTTCGTCTAATACTTTCATTTGGAGAATTTTACTCCCAAAAAGTACAAAATGTCATGCATTGTACGCGGTTTTGGTTCACAAGATTACAGAAAAATATTGACAATACATTTCTTTCAAGCAGACAATCACAATACGTGAAAAATGATCTGTTTTGTTTCTAACTATTATCACAATATAATGGTGTTTAAAGAAGTATAACGTCAACTTACCTTCTGCTTCTTCTTCATCATCCAATGGAACGGGCGCTTTCCAATGTGCATGACCGGAATAATATAAATGTTTTGGCATTGGAGGCGCTACTGGAATTCGCTGTCGTCTTAATGCATAATAGGAGCGTCGTGGCTGTGGACAATGTTCGATCAAAGCTAAATTGTCTAAATTTGATGGTAAAGTTGCTTGCCGTACCATTCTTGGTGCACGTTGAACATACGGATATCTGTTAAATTGTTGATGATGTGGGAAATGATGATAATGTGGACGCTGTCTAATTGTAGACGTAGTTGTGGGTAAATTTTCGACATCGATGGAAGCTAAAGAACGTGAAATCGTATTTGTTGTTGTTGGGGCAAATGCAATATCGTCTATATTATCCTGATAGCCCATATTAATAAACATGGGAATGGTAGGAGCTGAGTATCCCCCAAACATCTGCTCGTTTCCATCGTTAGCATAATTTTGTTGACCATCATGACTATTATTAATATCACTTTCAATCGGAATACCAAGCATATCGAGAAATGATGGACTGTGATCACGAAAATCGGATGGATACACTGGATTATGTAACGTTCCAGTTGGTGGCTCTGATTTAATCGATGACGGTGGAGAAACATCGATAAAAGTAGAAGTATTTGTATCCATTATCAGCTATCTAAAAATAAAAGTACTTTCAATAAGAAATTCATCGGAAAAAAAATTACAAGTGATCTACTTCTCAAACAGCCTGTTTCTGGTCCTAGATAGCAGATGATAGGTGGTATGCTCAATGATCGAAAAATAATTTTTCATTCCTAAGAGCCTTTGAAAATTTGTGATTTTTGACTACTGAAAGAAGTGAAAATATTAAACTTTTACACTACTTCTGCAAAAGAAATTTTAAGTTTCAATAAAAGTCAGACCATCAGGACGTCCATGCGTCACGTGTGAAAAGATAAACAAAAGTAGCCAATTTTACTCAATCTCTTATGAATCAAGAAATATGGATACTAAATTACTGCTTTTGTTACGGTACAGAGTTTGAAAAAGCAGAAATACAATCAATATGAACTAAGAAAGGTAACATATTAAATAAAAATGGTACATCTAGAAATCTATTATTGACCTGTTTATCGATCATAACTCGATCAAAATACAGATTAGAAATGGTAAATCAATGATTTGGAGAAATATGCGACTTTCCATTACTCATACGTTGTTAGTCGAAGAAAACGACAAGAAATCTTCCATAGTGGATTTCAAAGTAAAGTAAACTTTCGATCAACAACCTCCTATCAATCTTATGGTGTGTGAGTTCATATAAGTACATTTTTTTCTTCTATTGTAAAATCTGTTAGTCACACAAAACTTTGATTCGTTTGTTTGTCGCCATGTACAGTCAACGTAAAAATCCGCTATGCTAATAAATTTTTTCATTTTCAAGAAGCAAACGATCGCTACTGCCACCTGTTGTCTACCTCTGTACGTTCTACCATCATCACAATTAAACGAAAAAATAAAGGATATTGTATGTATCTATCTCTTCAATGTAAAATATTACAGTGTCATAAAAAAATAGATGTTTAGACTACGTTACGAAAAAAGCAAGTACTGAGGATATACGTGTAATTCGAATAACGAAGATGTTAACGATTGTAAAAGGACGCCGTGAAATGTATTTCATGTGTGCTGTAACTTTGGATAATACTTTCCATATTGATAACTCGAGCATATTTTTGCGGTCTAGTTCGCATTCATCACCAATTTGTCCAAGGTATTGTGCTATTTGTCTAACAATAAACTTTTATAATGAATTCAGTGTAAGATTGGACAGTGATATATTGGATATATACAATAAAAAGCGAGGATAACAACATGATGCAACCATTATTGATCCAAGAAAGATTACGTATTTATTAAATTCGTGTAACTAAACGAAAAACATGTATTATTTGTCCCAAACGTTGTTAGAATTTATAAAGAACTCTATCATAAAATTCGAACTTTGAATCGTTCTGTTAATAACAAAATTCCTCTCCATTTGAACACTATTTGACAGAGAGCAGGTTTCACTCACTAAATCTAAGCAATTTTAAAACATAAATGTAGTCTCTTTATTGTGCTGAAGGTTACATTCTTCAGAGTATATTTAGGTACCGTGACATATCTCTGAAAAATTCTCTCACCGTCTGATGCGTTTTTACCAGATCTTTAGAAGACAGTTGTATCTTTGAAGGTAGTTGGTTACATTATCTGAGTTTTACATTATTTAAATTATAACTTTGGAAGTAGAAAATCTTTTACACCATGAGGACCTCAGGAAGTCAGCATCTGTTCTACTAGGTATTTAACAACTATAGTTAATCAAAGGATTTTGAATCCATACTCGTTTTAAAGTTAGAGAGAGAAACAGTGCTCTTAACATGTTAAACTTCTCAAACAAAACGATTATTTTTATTCTAATATTAAATAAATAAAGCTTAAACATATTCAATCTAGTTTGAACTAGATGTTTGGATTATTCTACCTTTATAACATAATAGATGGATGAATGATTCTACCTTTCCGGCAATCTTGAAGTATGAGACCAAGTTCTTCATGAATTAGAGTTATTTTGCTATCAGTTTTATAACGAAATTTTACTGTGAATTGAGAGAATATGAATTTCATATTCAAGCTAACTCATGAAACATGTGAATTAAGTACTTGTGATAATCAATATTTATCAAGTTTTCCAATGGTGTGTTTTAAAAAGTCCAAAGAGGCTTTCATCTATAGAGACCCGGTCTATAGAAAACCCACACATAAGTATTCTGGAACTTTATAAAGCGCACCATTGGAAAGAGCATATCTGAAAACCTATAAAAAAAGTGTTTATAGACTTTCGAACTGCTTCTACAGCTAGGTATGCACCAGTTAAAAACTGGTGCATACCTAGCTATAGCAAATATCAAAATCCTTCGCCAAAATTGTGGCTCTATGCTTCGACTTTAGCGTTTCGTCAGATCCAACAAGTTTTTGCTCAAAAAAATCCGCCAATCGCATATCATTCGATGCAGTTTCTTGCATTGAGTCTGAATATGTCATTATTATTAAATAGAAAAGTTTCTGAGCCGATAAAAATGGGAAATATCCGGAAAATCCATTTTTAAGTCCGTTTTTGAAAAGGTCCATTCCATTATAAGTCAGTTTTGATTTTTTCACCTAATGTCCGCTAGATGCACACTGTTTGATGTGCGTAGTTTTGAGAATTATTCTCGAGCAGTCTTATTCTAATTCAACAAAACATTGATTCCTGAATTTTCCTCTTGTGATACAAAATGATCATTCTTCTTCGGTATCCTCTGCAGACCAATTTTTCTTAGATTTTTGTTCATTTCAAGCCTAAATATCTTTCGATATACTGTACCATATTTTCTTACGCCTTTCCCTTTCGACAGTCAAGCGTCGGAGTAAATACACACTTATCTCATGAATGTCTATAAATAATTTATTGTTGTGTATTTAATGTGTAATATCCATTCTTATGATGCAAAGATTAAATTTAATAACGATCATAAAAGGCAATATGTTTATATACTGTTATAATCAAAATCTATGTAGTAGTGATAAACAAAATATTTACATTCGGGTGATCAGAATAAAAAAGAAAAAGTAATAGTTTTGATATGCGTACGTGTTTATAAGAAAAAATTTTAAACGAGATGAATAAACAAAAAAGTTCGTATAGATCTTCTTTTGAAGATTATAATTTTAACTTGAAGACTGATTAGTTTACGCAACAACTTATAACGATTAAGTTCGAACAAAGTGTCATATCGTTCAAATCGGATTATCGAAACATCAAACTGTAGTCGAGAAATCACACGCTAAATCATTTAATTTTTAACCTTATTATAATGAACATAGAAAGTAACATCATCCTGTTAAGGATTAATATTCCTTGGGAAGTCATTAATTCAAGATTTATAGATTTCCATGTTCTGTGTGAATTCTTTGATTGAGCTATGTACTCAAACAAATCATGGTACGAACCATTAATGATACTTTATTTTTATGTTGGATAATACCCAATCAACTGAGTTATGACTGATTACATAGCAGTAAAAAACGATTGAACTGAGTGTTTTATGGATTTATTTTCATTTTGCAAGGTATTTTATTGTTAATTGTTTTATCATTTCTCATATTGTCAGCAGTAAAATTACCAAAAATTTCTCGTCTTGCAAGTGAACCATTAAAAAGAGAGAGAAAATAGAATAATAATAATAATAATAATAATAATTATCAGAGTACATAAACGAACTACTTACAATCCTTGATTTAATTTTAATCAAAACACGTAAGAACCACCCTAGTCAAACTTCATGTACGCAAGATCTTGGAAATAGAAATTTCAAGATTTTGAGCGAATCCACTCAAAATGTTGCAAGGTTTTAAGTGAAAAATTTTCTTTACATTTTAGTTTTATTTATGACAGTCATAGTCATTAGATATACGACCATATAGAATCATAGGCTTTTCATTAAACAACTATGCTCAAGAAGGAAAAAATTCGAAGTTATTCTAAATGTGAAAATATTCGCACTTATATTTTACACAAGAGTGTAAAACAAACGATGATTCCAAAATTTCTGAGATCTTGGATACAAGATTTAATCACTCAAGATCTTAATTAAGATCTTGGGGTACAAGAAGTCAAGAAATTACAAGTTGTTCAAGATCTTGACTTCTTGAGATTTCTTGAATTCTTACATTTTCTTATCAACCTCTTACTAAAAAAATTCAAGAAGTCAAGATTTTGCTTACAAGAAGTTTCACTAGAAAACCTTTCATCTTAAAATTAAAAGATCTGTTCTTGAATCAAACGTAGAGTCTAACTTGTAGCATCAGAACAACATATTAGTTGCAAAATAATATAAAAAGAGGATGATAAATAGTACCAAGAATTCCTTTACTTCAAATTTATAAAATTATACAATTTTCAATACAGAACCACCGTAGTGATAAAGCATCTTCTTGATGACAAATTTACGATGGTTAATTAATTACTATTAATTATATATTTTTCTAAATAAAAATCTCTTTTTTTCGTAATTATCTTGCTAGATATTGGTAATTTAGTTAATGATTGTAGAAAATAGCTATATATATATATATATACTGCTTTATTCTTTCATATAAAAAACAAATGATCTAGTTTATTATACAAAAGTATTTAGGCCGAAATATAATGAAAAAAGTTTAATTCGCATTTTAGCTGTCCTATATAGTAATTTGAATATAATGGAAAAACATTTGTTCGATTTTCTATATTAACAGGATATGTGAAATTTGCTATAACTTTGAAAGATATAAAAGAAAATGGTATAAACACAAAATATACATTAGACAGGAGTAATGATAGAAATATCTGTCAATGACTTAAACGATGATTTTGGTGTCCGTATATTCAGCTCTTGTGTTTAACCAAAAAAAAAAAAAAAGAGAAAAAAAAGAAACAATATCGAAACAAAAATAACGAGAGTTACTCTAGAAAATAAGTAACACAGAGCCACACACACACACACACATACACATACATTTCAAAAGAAAAAAGAATTGTTGAAGGAGAACAAGATTACACAAAACCAAAAACAATTTCTTCTACATTGAGTAGAAATCTTAAGAATCAAGAAATACAGAAGAAAAAACAAATTTAAAAGTTTTTGCACATAAAGCGGGAAAAAAAGAGAGAAGATAATTCGTATATTCTTTGAATGCTCAGTTGTATAATCAAGTGTTAGATCCTGTAAATATTTTTCTGACCATTGTTACTAACGCTAATGAATTTCAAATTTGAAGAATAAAACAAAAAAAAAGAAAAAAATACAGATATATAAAAACATATTCAAAAATAACAAAATTGATAAAGCGGTGAGTATGTATGTGTATGAGAGAAAGAGTTCAGATACTTATTGTTAGATATTTTGATCACTGTGTTTAAAATAACTGATGAATATAGTTGCACAAGCATGTCAAGGTCGAATAAAATGCTTCTTGAAGAAAAAAAACAGAATTAAACGTTTTTTTGTATACCACTGGGAGAAGTTTGAATAATAATAAAATTGAATAAATATATGTATACCGTTTATCGTTGAATAGCGACAATTCTTAACATTAATAATTGTCTTTCGTTATTATCTCCAATAGCGACTATTGTACGATTATGTGCAGCAATATGTAAGTCAATAGGAACCATGTTTATCGGCATGGTCGATGCATTTTGTCCTGTTTGTAAACGCCATAAACATATCGTTTGATCTTTCGATCCAGTGGCTACAAGTTGATTTGTTGATATACATGCACATGTAATCTAATTAAAAGAAAAGAAAACACATTATAAATATAAACTATATACTGTATGTTTGATCATTGTAAAAAGAATCAAATATACAAACCTCTCGTTTATGTCCTAATAATTTTGACACAAGTTCTTTTGTGTTTGTATCCCATACTTTTCCGGTGCCATCAGCACTTACACTAACAACAAATTGTTTATCAGGTGATAATTTTACATCAGTTATACGATCTCTATGTGGTTGTTGTCCATTCTCAGTCAATGAACCAGTACGATTACATGATGCAACATCCCATAATAATAATTGACCATTTCTTGTACCAGTTAATACTTGTTCATTATTTAATACTATTGAACATTTTGGATCACAATCTAGAGCAATCGATAATGGTTGTACTAATTCTTGATTCGTTGTTAAATCAAATATAACATAGTTTGTAATATTTCCGGATGCTTGACATCCAACAACTGCAAATCGTTCATCGGGTGTTAAAGATATAAAACTTGGTGTATTTCCATATGACTGATGAGTATCCGATTTGATTTCTTTTATTAATTCAGAATTTCCTAAATCTAATATTCCAACAGAAATACCACGTCCATATTTTTGATTACCGGCCATTACTAAACTATTTGAATTGTTACTTAATGTAAATGTTGCACATTTTATTTGATGAGTCAATTGAACCGGTTTACCAGTATTTACATCCCATATCTAAAACAGAAAAAGAAAAAAAGAAACTATTGAATTGAATGTTTAAAAGTACAATAATTTACTTGTAATACGCATGGTTGAGCATCGAGACCATCACTGGCTAAGCCAACTAGAAGAGTGCCATTACAAGCTAATGCGACTTTGGTACAATTATTACATGAACCTTGTAAACTCGATACCAATTGACCATTCTACACAAAGATAGAAACAAATTTTGAGCTATTACAAAAAATGACAAATATCTACTAACCACAGCATCCCATATTTGTGGTGGTCCCTGTGATTGTCCAACAATCGCATATTTTCCATTTGGCGTCATACTGACAGTATTGATATTACTTAATTCATAATCGGTTGTCATATTTTCACCACCAGCACCACCAAACATTGAATCCATTGTATAACCTCCAGCGCCGCCTTCCCATGTTTCTAATGTTTCATTAACACGATATCCGTCCATTCCTCCACCAGTTCGTACACCGTAAGGAACACCAAATCCAAAATCGCCGATAGGCGGAGGTTGATAAACAAGGCCATCGCCGGCATAACCGCTGTCAACAAATCGTTCTAAACAAAAAGTATCTATAATTGATTTTATGTGTAAGAGAAATTCAAAATATTCTCATGCGTTCAAAAATTGATAAAACAAAAAGCCATATTTAAAACATGCTTTTCTAATCGACAAAATTACGACACTTTCTTTTTATATACAGGACAATAAAAAAATTCATCGCCATTTCTAGCAAGCTTACACATGCACATGAAAACAAAAGCAAACAGATTAAATTTTTCAAAATGATGCTCTCAACAATTTTAATTGACCTCTTCTGTCGGAATAAGATGCACTCTGATGAGCTTGTTCACGAGAAAAATCTCCAAATCTTGATGATGATGACATTGTCGGGTAGGCAAATACACCGCCAGCATATTGATCTGGATAAACACTTTCTACAATTCGTTCTATAAATGGGCAAAATTAATGGTCTAATTGATTGTTTCATGTATTTTTCTTAGATACAATGTTTCGTTTAATTAAATCCCTCTTAAAAATCAACTTAAAAAATTTGGCTTATTTTTGAGTCTTACCATGTATACGTTCGATTCTTTCTGTTTCGGTTTTCCCTGCAGCTGCAGCTGCTGCGGCATTATCTCCTCTTAGTAATCCATCACGCTCATCAACCAATTGTAAATCACGAGCATTTCGTGGACCACCGTCATATAACGCTAAAATAAAATTTAATATTTATTAAAAAATAAGCAAGATGAACAGTTTTTAATTCATACCATTATTTTGAAATTGTCCACCATCTGTTTGACTCACTGCAGATACACCTGAAGAAATTTTAAATTCTTAAAAACATTCTAAGACAACAGAAATACTAATTCTTACCTCTTTTAATCGGTACATAGCCTACTGGACCACCTGGAATACACATTCCGTCTGCACATTTTCTTGCCGCTAGTATAGCTGCCAATGGCAATAACATAAACGCAGACGCAATCGCTAATATAAAACCAATGTGTTTTTCTCGACCTCCACCAATCCGACCATAATCAATTAATTGTCCGTTTTTTTTTAATAGTCCTCCTGTCTGTTGAACAGGTATGCCTACCGCCAGAGAGGGAAGTGTCGTTTTTGGCTTAGGTGCTTCGGTTGGAATTGGAATTGCTATAAACATATAGAAATGATGTTACATGAATGAAAAATTTTTGAATCTATCAGACAACGTACGTAGGATATCGCAGTACGCTCCACTATATCCATCTCGGCAAATGCATCGTCCCTCTTGGCAATCACCATAATATCCACAATTTATACCAGCACATAGGTCAGCTGAAAGTAAATACTTTTTAATGGAAGAAAACATGAAATGAGAGTACTACCCTTTCAAAATAGAATCAATATAGATGTTTTCTGGATTAATTTTTCTTAAAAACGTGATGAAGCTCTGTAGATTTCGCTATTTAACAACCAAGAGTTATACATATCTTTTCATAAAAATATACGTTTAAAAATTTCTTTTCAAATACAAATATTTTTCTTTTTTGATATAGACAAATAACCAAGAGTATTCCGTACAAAATGAAACTCATCTGCCCTCTCCATCTAAGTACAAATTTTCCGAGAGCTTCAGGAATGATTTAACTTGATCTGTTGGAATCTCAAAAACGAATGAAACATACGCTATCAATCACACTGAATCTCGTGACAGTGTTTGCTTTCATAGAAAAATTTCAAAATCTATTGCAAATCTAAATTCGGAGAAACAGATTCTCTATTTTTTTGATTATCTTCACAGAAAACTAAAAAATCGTAGTCTGGTGAAAGTTAATTTAAATTGCTTTCGAATTTCAAAAAATCATAAAGAAGGTGAATCACTTGTTGTTTGAATGGCAAAATCCACAGAGCTTCATCGTTTTCTGAAGAAAAAGCTATTCAGAAAATATCCACAATGTTTCTATTTTTGAAATGGATCGTAATTAAAATACATACTAGGAATGTCACAATAGGGTCCACTATAGTCTCGTGGGCATTCGCAATAACCACCTCGACATACTCCGTGATTGCAATTCATTCCAACACATGCATCAACAGGTGGTGCTGAATGGTATCAAAAAAACCAGTCTCAAATATTATCTGTTATTTTACATTAAAAGAGAAAAACTTACTCTCACGACAATCTTCTCCCTGATATGGTGGATAACAATCACAACGTCGGGTATGACCCTCTGGAATACAACGTCCACCATTGAGACAGGGATATACTTGACAAACATCATCTGAAAAAAATGACATGACTACTTTAGAACATAAATGAAAAAAATCTAAATGATATGATCAATTCTACTGTAGTTTAAGTTTTACTATAAATATTTTTAGTCAAAAGTACTGTAATGTGCACTAACCTTCACATTTACTTCCAAATCGTCCTGTTGGACAAATACATCGGGCAGTTCCACCTTCATTTCGACACGTGCCACCATAACAATCATATCTCAAACATGGATCAACTAAAATAGAAAATACAATTGTGTCGAATTTTCCAAGCCAACATACGTTTAATTCAAAACATTCTTATACTATAAAAAATTTTATAATGAACTCGATCAGTCCCTATATCATACAGTTTAAAGCACGTGCTTTAAATAAAAATTAAGTGACTATAATTGTGCAAATATCTATATATAAGCCGTGTTAATCCAAATAATTCAGTGTTTGTGAGCAAGCAAACAGACCTTTTTTTACCATGCAATGTATGTGTGTTTTGCGTGTATATTTAACCATGATGTACAGATAGATCTCTCTATAGCCAACCTACTGAACTGGGTAATACAATTCATGAGACGGCTTAAATTTTATCAAGCGTTCAAAAAAAATGCACAGCCGAGAGTAAACTACTAAAATATCAAAATAACAGGTAGCTACCTTTTGTTATCTAGTGGATAGAAGAAAAAAAACTTAATCAAACTTTGAATAATTTTCACAAATATTATCCTTCGATTAAAGGATCTTCACTCCTCTGTATGCTAATAATCATTCAGCAATTTTAAAATAAAATAAATCCATTTTTTTCCAGCCAGAAAAAGAAGGATGATATGACGGGATGTACCTCTTTATTAAGGTTAGAGTAATAAATCATTTATCCATTTAAGCAAATATAGATTGTCAAGCATGATGAGCAATCTCATTGATTGTAAGTACCGTAACCTTATCTATTATTGAGTTTTGGATTATTTAAATTAATATGTTTAAGAAAGCAAGTTTTATAAAGACATATAAGTCATTAGATGCAAAAGAATTTTATCATCGTTATAGTATGTTCATAAATAAAAATTATATTTATGTTGAACAACTGTTGTTCTATTTCCCAATAATTGAGCGGTTGATTATATCCTTCTTTTTATATTCTATCTAACAGAAATTCCTCAGTCATGTTATTATGAACAATGTATACATATGCATAGTTCTTCTGTTGTTTTTTCCATTCATCACAGAGTGATCTAATCCTCGAAATATATTAATAAATGGCAGCTATTTAAACTATAGCGCTACATAATTGCCCACACCTTCGCGATTGTGTATTTATTTTTATCATCGTTGATAGTGGCGATAACGTGTTTTTATCCACGCACACACACATTTACATGTATATCTAATTGGTGTCATCATACACGCAGAGTATACTCCTCTTCTCTTTTTTTTTTGTTTTTTTTTGTGCTCTTCATACATTTATACGATGATTAATATACATTAACATTCTGTTTAGTCTCATAACAACGTTCTATCGTTAGTTGGTAATGTAGACACAATTGACTTCATAAATTGAAAAGAAAGACAGTTGCGTAAATGATAGTTAATTCATTAGAGTTAAGAGTGAATAATTATTATTTCATGGTAATCAGACAGAAAGAAAACAACTTTAGAATGCATATAAATACAGAAACTTATAAACTCAATTTTACTCTATATTACTCACACAATTCTATCATACACATCTCTCCAGTATATCCCAAGATGCATTCACAGTGGGGATTTCCTCGTTTATCCACTATGCAATAACCATGATTGCAATTAATATTTGTACAAGATGCTGCTATAATACAAGAATCATTGACAAATGTGTGTACGAACAAGACGGAAAAAAAAAAAGACTAAAACAAATTTTGAACTGTAGCAATAATAATAGATAACTCATGCACGAATAGTATAATATTCTCTCGATTAACATGCAAAATTTTTCTTTTAAAATCTCTTTTTTTGTTTGCACACATCAAACATGCTTTCTATACCTTGTGTCACTAATTCACAATTGTCACCGGAATAACCGGGATAGCACGTGCAATAGTAACCACGTGGATCGTTTGAATTTAAAACACAGTCACCTTGTGTGCATGGGCGTGTCTGACATACTATTGGACAAAAAAAAATCAGGTACATTCCACGCTAGTCTGAACGCGATGGTCATACGCGCTTACCATCCTGTAACTGAGAACAATCATGACCGGTATAACCATATGTACAACGACATAATGGTTGACCATTCTGCACGATACATACACCCTGATTGTAACATGCATGGGTTAAACATGGGTCAACTAAAAAAATAATGGGTTCTTCTCTAACAAAACTAAACAAAAATAATTTTTCAGTCTACCTTGACGTTCACAATTTCGGCCTTCATATCCAACCGAACATTCGCACCGATATTGATCATTTGGTTCATTTATACATGTACCATAATTACAATTTGTTCGTGAACAAATATCTATAGATGTGCAATTAATATTTAAAAAATATGTTGAAAAATGAAAATATCTTTCTTTATTATGAGTGTTTTTATTAAGATTAAAAATATTGTAATTGATTCAAAGTTTTACACTCTGGTGACGCAAACTTAGCATGATTATGAAATAAAATTTATGAAAAAAGTATTGTAATTTGAAAATAACTAATTATCTCTTAAACTAAAGATTTAATCAGTATGCAGATAGCTACAACATTGATTAGAATAAACTACAATTTTGTTATGAACTACACGTGACTACACATATATTTTATGTGCATGATGCATCTACATATTTTTATATTAAAAAAAAATTATCATAATTTATTGATGTATATGTGAAAATATCTTGTACTTACCGGATGGTGTTGCACAGTCGGGACCAGTCCAGCCAGTATAGCAACGGCAATATGCAGTTCCGCGATCTGCTTCACATCGGCCATTATTACAAGTCAAACGAGCACATGGATCTGAAACAAAATAAAATAAATCAGTCTATATTTAACAACTAGAGACTATTGATTCGTCTATATTTTTCTACGCTACATATTTATTATTTCAAAATTCTTTTTATATCTTAAGTATGAGAGTATTGCTTTCTGCGTGCATTTATTATAAAAATTAGAAAACAAATTTAATGTTTTCTCTGTTACAATTTCAATTAGCATGTTTTGTCTCAGTATATAAATTAAGCCATTACAATAATTTATAACAATTTTACTCTTAATCATTTTTCATTATCATGTTTTTCGTACATCATTTTGAATTTATGATTGTCGTCACACCTTTGAACGTTTTTGCATACATCTATCGTCATATACGATGTTGACCATTCTAATGTACTGGACAACTATGATTTTTTTTCTTATTTTTTAATTAAATTATTCTTTTTTTTATGTTCGATGTTACGAATTCACTCTTCAAAAGGTAATGGAACATTTCTCATGGTTGACTAATTCGTATGAGTACGTATGTATATTAAACATTATGATGTAAAACTAGATCATTAAAAAATCGATATAGGCTATTGAAAAAAACATCACCTTGAAATGATAAAATCTTTAAAAATATGTATAACTAAATACCACTATTTACTCTACATACGTGTGAAGTTGAAAACCTCATTCACTATTGATTGTATCTGAACTCAGTTCGGAAATGATACGTCCTACACTTGCTAACTTCAAAATAATTCAATCAAAATGATTACTTCACTAAAAAATGGGTTAAAATTTAAAAAGTCTATGAAAGCTCTATTTTACGGTCATATGATGATATTTGGATGAGATATTTCCTATACCGATGTATAATGAATCGTCTCTCGTCAAAATCAGTCACTACCGTTTTTCTGTAAATCAATATTTTACAGCAACTGTATCACGTTTATGCATGACCCAACACTTGACAACGTGAAGATTTCAGAAATAGATCATATTTCCATATGGTCGCTGCACAAGAATCAAAAACCACAAAACTACTCAATCTTCATCAAGATATGTCTCCATATTTATGATAGTTGGTTTTTAACGAACGCTTGAGAATCCAAAAATTGATAATATTTCTACTTTTTAAATTGATTTTGATGTATAAACTCGACATTCTTTGTACTGAACAAAATTGTTTTACAAGCACTTTTTAGTTAAAGAAAAGTTAAAGTCTTGGAAACTTGATCTGACTCTTACTATCGGCACAGATTGCGAGATTGTCTTTCTCTAATTTTTCTCTCAACATAGTTGAGAATATATACATTAAGTTATCTTGTTGTAGGATCGCATCATAAAAAATGATTTCCACAATATTAAATAGTTAAGGCACATCTCACTGTTGATTTCTTCAGTCTGAGTGTTTAGAGTCCCCTTAACATTGACTATCTGACTCAATACGTCAAATTTGGAGTGAACAGAATATCATAATGCCAGTACTTTTAAAAGAAGTTTGTTGATGCAACAGCCATATGGAGACATGATCTATCTCTAAAATCTTCACGTTCTCAAGTGATGAGTTTTGGATAAATGTGATAGAATTGCTGTAAATTAACCCAAAGTTTTTTCTATATTTCACAGATAAATCATTCTATAACAATAACAATAACGATAATAGTGGTCTAAATGCGATGATGCAACACTCACATTGCGCATATCAAGAAAATAATCTCGTGCATAATGAGAAATCTTTCATCAGTAGAAAAATGCGTCCTATGATGTTCAAGAGAAAAACGTTTTATATATAGATAAACAAGATGCAGCTTTAAACGTTGATTGATAAAAGCTAACAGAATAAGAATATATATATATACGAACACAAATATATAGACCAGATTCCTTGTTTATCTGTAATAGTTTTTTTTTTGTTAGACTTCCAACTATGTAGACTACATGATGAAAATATCAAGTATAGAAAGAAATAGAAAAGTACACTCATAAGTTATCGTTTTTAAACAATCAATATGTGTAGAAACATACACATACGTTTATCTAACAAATCTCTCAACACAGCATCAAAAACTAATTATTGGCAACACCCCAATGAGGGTGATGTTCCTCCTCTCTGTCATAGCGATATATCATCTCCACAATTTTTGAAATATGTTCATGGCATAAGTGAACACTTTTTCAGAATAATAAATATCCATACAAAATAAGACAAGATAGCAAAATTTATATTGTCATTATTATGACACAATTTTTTTCACTTTTGTCGATATTATTTAAGATAAAAGAAAAAAAATTGAGATGTACAATAACAACGGATAGTTGTTTAGAACTTAAATATATGAAGAACACTTGTGTTTAGGAGATAAAATTGATAGACTATATCTTCTTACTCGTGTCATCTTTCAAAGTAAATTTCTCACTAACAAAATTTCTAAGTTAAGCGTATACATAAAATACGAACTTTACTTCATAATAGAGTAATGAATAAAAACAAATTATAGACTCTCTACAAATTTTATCTGGAATTCTTTAATTGACAGCAAATCTTTTACGGGAACAATGATCAAACTCAACTCAGAATAGAAATGATCACATTGTGAACAACAATTTAGTTGTAATACTAATCCATAAATTATTGATGTATTATCATCATTATATATAATTAAAAGTCTTTTTCTATTTCTTTTTTTTTATTGACTTTTAATTGTCTCATTTATACATAACATCCATAAGCACATTGTTTAATTTCTTTTATCTACCATTTTCAAATAGTATAGGATATTCCTTCATATATTTAGTAGCCAATTAATTTGCACACATGCCAGTCTTATTTTATGTCAACGTGTCTTTATTTGCTCAACATCAGAGTTGACTCAGTTTTATTTATCTTTGATTTACTTTTTAGTCATTATTCATTCTTTGATATTGTTTTTTTTCATATTGCTATTGCTTCCTTTCTATCGGTTATTGTACCTGTATTCATATTCATGTTTCCTTTTTTTTTTTCCTTCTTCAATATATACATTCTTGATTGATGTCTGTCCCAAAGCGATGCTTTCTCTTTGTGGACAATTTAACAATGACTTGACAGTTGTTAGGGTTCCAAATGTCTCAATTTTCTTTTTACAGATTTTTTTTTTTTAATGTTTAACAATACACTCCTGCTTCTCTCTTGAAAAAACTAATGGAATTTCTTGTGTTAATACGCATCAACTATACACTGATTTTCTTTTCATTATTATAAAATATTACATAACACTTATTCTATATCTACTATACACATATACATACACATACAACATACATATATATATATATATATAAAAGAGGAAAAATGTGATCCGTCAGATCTCAGGTTGGTAACATCCTTCACATTTCCTTCTGTCTTTTTTTTTTATGTCATTAAATATATGTACAAAAAAAAAGAGAAATATGAAATGCGCTTAGGCATTGTATGATTTTTTTTATATTTACTCACAATCAACACACACACACACATACACATGTATAGAGAAAATGATCAAGTGTAAGATCATGGCAAATAAGCTTATATAGAGGTAAAATCAAATCGTTTCTCTCTTAAACTTTTCTTCTCTTCTCTGTACTATGGTACTTATTTTGACACGTACACTAGTTTTTTTATTCGAATGTCAAACAAAAGTAGAAAAAAATTTATAATTTATAAATTATAAACAATGGAACGGAAATATATTGCAAATATCTAACTTTGGTGCTCAGTTTTCATGGATTATTCAAGATTAATAATAATAATAAAAAAAGTTAATCCTATCATACCTTCGCGTGTTTCACATCGACTACCAGTATATCCTGAATAACATTCACAATAGGGTTGTTGATTTCGATCTTTACGACAGGTGCCTTGGCCACAGGGATATGATATACACGGATCAACAGAAACTAAAATATAAAATAAAACAATACAATAAAATAAAACTATTTTCTATCTATCACTACATAAATGATAGTAATTCGAAACTTTCTAACTTCTAAATGTTCGAGAAAACAATAAAAAAAAAAAAAATGTTTTTTGACAAACAAATTTCTTAATAACAAGAGCCTTTCTATCCCTGCTCAATATTGAGCTAACTAAACGTTTTTTGAACGTGGATCAAACAAATAAAAATATTATTTTTTTTGATCTATATAACTCGACGTTTGATTTTTAATACTAAATAAACGTTAAATTTAATTAAAACAAATAGGTAACAATATTCTACATAACCTTGATAGAATTTTTTGTTTTATGTTCCACGCAACTATAATTTTTCTTATTTACATACAAACACTAGAATAGATCTACATAATCACCTTTCAATGTATACGTATATAGATCTAATTGGATAATTTAATAGTGATGTCTAACCTTGATATAAAAAAAAAATTCAAGCACGATAATATCATTTATTTTGTGTACATATATAGCTAGATCGATTTGAGAACAAAAAAAAAAGAAAAGAAGAATAAAATAATTTTGTCTGTTTTAATCTCAAGGTTAATGTGACACGATATATTCTAGTTTCTCTCTCTCTCTCTCTCTCTCTTTGTTATCCCTATTCTAATTAAATAAAATGTGACAAATGGCACACACACACATTAGGGAATAGAAAAAATAAAAAGAAGAAAAAAACAATTAAATGATGATGCATATCTAAATATCTAACAAATAGAATCAAATCAAAGACAAAAACAATAAAAAGATGTTCAGGCTATAATACACCGTGTGTGTTGAAGATAAAATTTTCTAATTAACCAAATAGAAAAACACGAATAAATAACTATTCGAGTTTTTTCTTTAATAAATTTGTGTATATAGTCTATTACTTCACTATCATACGCTTAATAAATAGCAATATGTTGACTAACCTGGTGATTCACAACGTAATCCGGTATAAAAGGTTGGACAATTACAAAATGGACCTGTTGGTGCTGAAATACAATATCCTCCATTTTGACAATTCACCGTTGCACATGGGGCTAAAATGAGAAAAAAAATAAAAAATATGAGCCTTTTCATTGTTCAAACGTGTGAGCTATTCAAACAGAAAGCTAATTCTATTGTTATTTAACACGTTGACTTCAACATCTAAACAACAATTCTTCATATATTAGTTAAAAGATTTTGGTCCTATGTCTCTTTTAATGACGTTTTCGATTACTAAAAAAAATTTGTTTGTATTTTTAATTTAGCTAAAATATTCATTACTCTAATGGATAATAGAAGTCACTTTTGTACTGACAAACTGCAAACAAAGAAACGTTCGAAAACAAATAAAAGAAATCTTTTAAATATATATTCTGTAAAAGTTTAGACAAACAATTGATTTAATCACTTACGACAATAGTAACATCCACCACTTCTTGCATCATAAACCGCCTGAGAATAAACGTTTGATATAAACGAAATTAATATGATGAATATCGAAAAATTAATTGACATGTTTATTTTTTTTTCTCTGTTTATATTTTTTAATAACGAATTGTGTATTGCTGCTACTAATAAATTTATTTATATGTATATATATATACACACCACCACCACAATCCTTTTAACTGAATCACAAATATAAATTCCTCTTTTTCTTAATCATTTTTATTTTGTTTAAATTTTTATAAATGATCTATTGGCATCACAACAATAAACAACAACAACAAAAGAGTATCACACTCTGAAACTGATTATAATTATGATGAGATGATGAAGATGATGTGGATGAAACAAGGTCACAAGAGAAAGAGAGAATAATATTAGTAAGGTACTAGTAGTAGTTGGAGAAAAAAAAGAGAGCTAAAAATGTACATAATAATTCGATGAATATCGAACAACATGCAGAGAGGAGAAGAAAAAAGAAAAAAAAAATATATATATATATATTTTTTTTTTTCTAACCACAAACTTTATCGGTCGTACGTGTGTCTTTCACACGCTCACGCAACCTTAACAAGATGAAGAAGAAGAGAAAAATGAGAAATATATGCGTGGAGAACACACTAATAGTAAGAGTATTACTAACAACAAAATATAACGTCATCTTTCTTTTTCCCATTACTGTAACAGCAGCAGCAAAAAATGAAGAATAAAGAGACCGCAAAGAAAGTAGACATTTTTTTTACTGATGTGCTGAGTAAGTATGCAAAAAAAAAAAAAAAAAAAGAAAAAAAAAAGTTGTATTATATTATTGCATTATACTAGAAAAAAAACATACATATACATAAGAACAAAAGAAAGAGGACGCAAAGAAAAATGTGTGTTGATGCACACAATTGTTACTGGAGGGAAAAAAAAAGAATACACAAGTCTGTACATACATCGAAGGAGAATTTGTTAGATAGTCAAACATAAGGACAAGAATGCTGCAGGTTTTATAATCGCAGGTTTTTATTCTGTTCTTTTATGTATAGTTGCTATTTTAAAAATAAAAAATAGTTTTTAACCTAAAATAGTCTTTTTTTTTTTATTATTATGAAGATTCAAGAAAAATATCAAAATCTTTTATGTTCCTTTTCTTTCATTTCTAAATTGCCATGAATCTCGCGGTTTTTTCTTTCTTTTTGCTGTTTATTTTGAACAACTGTCTCTCTATATATAGGCAGATATATAAATATAATAAATATTTAATGTACAATACCGCATCTTTCTTTTCCGGCTACAATGTTTATTCAGATATTCTCTTCTTTTTTTTTTTTTTTTTTTGTTTTGTCCCATGTCGCATCAAGAGAAACAATGTTAGTATTCTTCTTTTTTCTTCGTGTTCTGTCTAAATGATCGACCAAATTGTATCCCACAAAAAAAGAAAAATTAGTTTTACTATCCATCCAATCATATCAACAATAATAACAGAAATAGCGAGGTGTATGATAAGTAGTACTATGACTATAGTAACAACAATTTCAATTTAAGTAGTATAACAGAAAAACAACAACAATATTGCAGACTTATGTCTAATGGAAAGAAAACATTGATGATCATTCTTGTCCCAAGTATACTTGAATAACCTCTATGAGTGATTGGAGTCAAGGTGTGCAATACAATTTGAAAACAAACACAGAGATTCATACGTTGATGTTAGTCATTGGTCAAATGAGTAACATTTTCTGATATCAAACAAAAAAAAATAAAAACATACTGTCAAGATTAGAATATTCAACAGTCTATGTGTAAATCTTTATATTTGAACTTTAAACAAAATGACTTAGCTCCTCTCTTTTATTGTACGATATTTTGAGCCGAAACGTACTTTTTTGATTATATAACGTGGTTACTCTGTTGACCAACATAAAACTTCAACTTGATTAACAACGATATGCGAGCTTAGAAGATGACTGATGAATTCAAATCATTACATTTACATCTTTTTTTTCTTTACGAAGTATTATGCTAATTTATTTAATTCTACAATACTTATGAATGCAATACAACAATCATAACTTGAACGTAATATCTCTTTATATATATATTTGTGTGTACATATGTATGTACTGTATAATGAAAGAAAAAAAAAATGATACAAAAGCAAAACTGGATCATATAATCAAAGAATGGATGGATATGGATTTATATACAACATATTTGCACTTACTATTCCAAGATACTATTAACTCAAAAAATAACGTAGATTAACGAAGATTCTGATACAAAAAAATACTACGCTATTTTTCAAGTAGACAGTGGTAAAATGATTGATTAGACATAGACATATTTATCGGGAATCAAACTAAACAATGTTGAGTCAAAGAACTCACAAGGAGATATAATTAAGAGAAATAAATGATCTTTAGAAGAAAGTTTTGTAATTATTTAAAATTTTTTATCAATAACACATAGGTTTTCGATACTAAATATTGAACACAAATTGTTTAAATCAGATGAGTGCATCGATTTTCGGATGTAGAAAATCTTTCCAAGTGATAAATTGCTTTTGTCATGACAGAGTTTTTCAGAAAATATTTATCATGCTAATCGCCAATTTGATGTCCATTGTGCCTGTTAGACTTCACTCGAAAATTTCACACAGAACGCGAGAGACTCGATTTCTGCAGGAAAATACTTCTTAGATTTAGTTAGACATCAGATTAGTGATCAATGTGAAAAATATTCTGTGAAAAAATTGTTTATCTTCTAGGGAGAATTCCGCGTGCGTGTCGCTCAGTCGGAAAATGTACTTATTTCGAGCATGTGTTTCTTTTTTCAGTAATACAAATCTACTCATCAAATGAAAGAGTTACTCAAATACTAAAGAGGACACCCCGGTGTTAAAAATCTAGGTAATCGCGCTTTGATCTGTGTAAAGGAAATGAAATCTGATTTGTTTTTATTTATTTGCAACTCTTCCATTTAATAAATTTACATTGTTAAAAACCAGAAAGTGCATTCTAAATATGTTCGCATTCCAATCTCTGTCAACGGGTTTTCTTCTTAAACAGTTTTTTCTTCTTTTTTCTATTCAACTATTACTGACTGAAATAAACTTCATGAGTCAATTATTTGTTTTTCTTCTTTAACGTCTTTCAAAAAGGCACTATCTCAGTATCTCTTACACTAAAATTCAGCCATGTTTCTAGTCAAAATAAAGTCGTGTTATTTTCATTAACGTTATTTTATTTGTATTTATTTTCATCGCTTCTTTATCTCTATGTTGCATACTCTAGGTTTTTTTTCTTTTGTTTATCTCTGTTATTTCTTTTTCTTTTTCCCTATTCCATTTTTGTACTTTGACTCAAGTCATTGATACTACAGGTCGGGTAGTAAAAAATCATATGCCGATTCGGATATATTCGGATATATATCCTGATCGGGATGTATTTAACCTTTTTATAGCGGAAGAAATTTCTGCTATATCCCGATCGGGATATAGAGTATGAGATTCAACTCTACTGTCGGGGACTCTCACTTTTCATGAATAAACTAGTCTTAGAGTGTGTTGCAAGACATTCACTAACAAAGAGCGTCATTGCCGCCCTTTTCCAGCTATATGTATTGGTCCCTTGTTATACTCTAGAATAGTTCTTCTAGAAGTCTTTTGGTTTGATAGTCATCAGCGCCGAGAAAGTATATTATATTTTCTGAAAAAAAGAAAGAATGCGAAATATGGAGGTTACAAGACCTTGACCTCTGAAAACCCGACGACTCTGATATATCAATAGATTTTAACAAAAACAAACTATACATTCAACTATTAAGCCGAACATTAATAGCGCATTTTACAGTTCGTTATCCAATTTATATCGTTTGTTAACTAGCGCCATCTGAATGTCGCTAAAAACTTATTGTTCGTTTGATCTTTGTGAAAGTAATTTAATTATTTTAGAATAAAAGTATTGATATCGGGTGTGAAATTCAAGCGCCCAAGGTCTTGTATTCTTGAAATTTCTTTAACTTTTTACACGCTTACTAAGATTGATTTAATATGTTTCACCAGGGCGGTCGTATCCCTAATGGCTATGACTGTCACACACACGAGAGTAAAATGTAACAAAAAATGTTTCATCCAAGAGTTTGAAATTTTCGTTTAGAAGGTCTTGACTTATTGGTGTTTTTGCTTTTAGTGATATTTCTATTTCATGACCAAAAACTTATGCTGCATAGATATCTTACTTGTACCGTAGGACTCAGAACTGTGCACACGTATTGTTATTACAATCGTGCCACGGCCAGATTTTTTCTAGATCTTGTTGTTGATAACTCAATAGAGACCAACTGACGAAAAAGAGGATGTCGGAAACAAGAATAAATCAGACGTCAATTCATCACAATGTTTGTAATCACTTAAACTGTCGCCTGTTAGAAATCTATCTCGGTAATCAAAGTTTGATCGGAACGGAAATTTCAGAGAATGTTGTGCATGAAGAGGAATAGTTATGCAGCTCCGTATATGAACGAACATGGGTATCGTTCAATCTGTTTGTATGTGCAAGAATTCTTGTTTGTTTCAAGAAATTCATTTTCTGAGAACTCAGAAAAACTTGTTCATAGTTTTCTACAGGTTTTCGAACATCGGAATGTCATGCGCATGTGTGCACATATGTGCCGCATAGTTATTTGATGGTGAAGAGATTTCTCCATGAAATCGCCACTTTTTTTGATTAATGTAACTGTCGCTTAGGGCTTTCAGAAAACTTGTTGAAGAACCTTGAAAGAGTGTTTTTGGAGATAAAGAAATAAGTGCAGTAGAAAGAGGAGTTTTTAAACTACCATATCGTGTGAATTTCTAAAACTCGATAGTTTTGACGAAAATCATTGTTTGTAACAGGGATAAGTTAGACTTAAATGTTAAATGTTACATCTCTTAGATTCTTACCTTGAATTGGCGCATGCACATTCCAAGCGACACCAGGATCAGCTTCAATTAATGATGGATTTCGAATGCAATTTTGGATTACATTCTCACGACGGCTATCAGCCAAGAGCATAATCTACATGTAAAAGCAAATAGTTGAGATGTTTTAAGAAAGAATTTTTACATACATCTTGAACATAACCATAATAATTAGTTCCACAAATGTGAATTTTTCTGTCGCCAAATAAACTGAAATACGTTGCAATGTTGCCGTAATATTTGCTTTGATAATCAAGTGTTAGATTCAACTACAAGGATACATAACAACATCGTAAATTTTTTTTTTCGAAAATCATGACAACTCACCGAATTTCTGTCTTTTTGACATTTTAGAACATGCCATTGTGCATTGGTTAGTTTACCGGGAAAATCATAAGTTTGAACAGACGGACCATTTTGAATCAAAAACTTTGGAGAATAATTCTACACACAAAAAAGTAACATGAATTGAAAAATGTCAGCGTTAGTACATATTAGCGACACTATAACAGCAATCCTGAATAAAGGTACTTTTGTTGCTAACTGTTGGAAAGAGCGTCATCAACAACTCATACGTTAGCGACATTAAATAGTCTCTGCTCAATAATCTAAAAAGATGGCGCTCTGCTTCGACTTTCTTCCTGCCTTAATACACTTGAACCAACGTTTTATCCTCAACTTGATCTCTCCATGGTCTGATTGTTTTAGTCATATGCGTGTATAAGATTGTTTTGTTTTTTTTACTTTCTTCATCATACGTACCACGATTGTAATCGATACTTGTGTAACACCATCTCTTGCTATGTACAATGTTGAATTTGGTGAATTTGTATAAATGGTAAAATCGATTTGTTCTCGTTGTCCTGGACCAATTTGAGAAATGTATCGAACTAGACCGGTGCTACCAATATCAACTAGTTTTGGAGTACAAACCATACTACAATCTGTCTGACCACAAAATTGAGTAAGTGATGGTGATGCCTGCACTATGGAAGGTGGTAGAATTGACGGTGGCTGTAGGTTACATGGTCTCTGACGATCACATAACATTCCTGACTGATAAAAACAATCATAACGATCGGGTTTTAAAACACCTTCGGGTAATAATGGATGTCGATTATAGGTGATATTAGCAAAACAGCCTGTATACGTGCCAACATTAGAATAATCCGAATCATAGATATGTCGATATGGACCTCCAATTGTAACAACATCAAAGAATAATGGTGATCGTTCTGGTAGTGGAATTAATGCAGAACGTTTATCAATTTGAACGTACATATTTTCATTAATGTGATTAATATTATTCGTTTGCGATGTGACTGTAGGATTATCTGCATTTCTTGTTACAATAACACGATGTTGTACTCCATCGCTTATTGTCAAATTATCGGAATAAAGTAATTTTGCTTTACCGTTCGGTGGATAATATTTTAATTGAAATTTTCCATCTTTAACATAGAATACCATACCACGATTATCTTCATTTGAATACATTGAACTAATTACGGCATTTTTGTTTGTTGTTTTAATTGGTAATTGACAATAGTAAAATTCATCATTACCTTTGACATTTAACTCGATAATATCACGCCGATCTCTCATGGAAAAACTAATATCCGGTGAAACATAGGAGATAACATTTTTTCCTAGAATAAAAATAATAATAAAAAGGATTAGTAAACATTTCAAGAATTGAGTACAATGATTGGCTCAAAACACTCGCAGTTAAACAATAGAAAAAGTTACTACTCCAGTTCTAGTTAACGTCAGTTTTTAAAAGTGGAACAAAAACTAGGAACAAAAGTTGTTGTTTTTCTTTTAAAATGGTAAGATTATTTTTACACTTCTTCTCATAGTTTAACAATCATCATTTCATCAAAAACGTTAATTTTTGTAGAATCGAGAGTAGAAAGTTTTTGTTTATGTTTCCTAATCTACTGAGCAATAGTAACTGCAGACGACTTTATGTTTAATTATTGCCTCACTGTGTACACATACTTGGACGATATGTTAATTTACATAATGTTGATAATCTTGACAAATCATTAATTTGATCACGTCTTATCAATGGTTTTTCATTGAATAAAACGTCTTTCATACAACCAACAAAATTTTCTCCCTCTAAATCATAGTGTTGTTTAGCAAATCCATCAATTTGTCCAAAATAAATTGAATTCAAATAAAATGGTACAACTAGATTAAAGGATAAAAAATATTTAATTTTATCCAATTCTATATAATCTTTTTCTTGATTATTTTTAATTATAATTTGATGTTCAATACCATCGTTGACTGTTCGATTCAATGAAAATATATATCGTTTGTGTACATGATTATCGAATGTTACATATAATACGCCATTACGTATACTTAATGTGACGAAATTATCATACAATTTATCGGCTAAGGAAAATAGAATACCGTTTAGTTCGAAGGTAACAAATGTTAATGATAAAATTTTAAATTCACGTTGATCATTATCCGAAAATAAAAATGGTAATGGTCGATCTTGTTCACGAAACGATATTGATTCATGAACATAATAATCATCTATGACACGATGTTGTTGTTGTTGTTTTGTTGTTACATTAATGAATGTATTAGTACAATTACGACGTGATTTTGCTACATCTGCTATATTGACTTTGATCAAATTTAATTTTGGATTACTTATACAACCGATAAATTTATTATGTGCTGTAAAACGATAATTACCTAATCGTCCACCTAGAATAATATCTTTTATATAAAATGGATTATTTATTTCAATTAAATTTTTTTGTTTTGAACGTTCATTTAACCAAGCTTCGATAATACCCGATTGTTTTCGACGATCATTTCTTAATTCTATCGTATATTCTTTACCATCATTTACTTTTGTCAATCGTAAACGACTAGTTGAATTAATATGATCATGTACAATTAAATTTAGAATTCCATCAATATCAATTTCTAATCCGATAAAGTATGGTTCATTAATTAAAGTAGCTAAGATTGTAGAATTAAGATAAGTTTGAAATGTTAATGAAAATGAATCAAAATCCGATTTTATTCCGGGAATAAAAACTTCATCATTATCATTCGATATAAATGATATTGTCGTTTCTGAATCCATATCAACAAGAACAAAAATTCTATTGTCTTTGGGAATTGTAGTTGTGATGGTAGTTGTCACTGCTGATGTTTGAATTGGAGAATCATCTTCAAGATCAATAGCTTCTTCTTGAAATACTAATGAACGTCCCATATTAGCCACAACCATCTAGATTAAGACAAAAATACAAAAAAATGATTAATGCAAGACTTTGATGTGTAAATAGCCTAAAATGCTTACATCTCCAATTTTTCCTTGAAAATCTTCATTAGGAGCGGGAATTAATTCAGCACCAACAAGAATATTGGATTTTATTTGCCATATATCTGGTAGTTGAACTTCTGATTGTATAATATTATCAACTTCAAATCGAAACTTAAATATCGACAGTCTCTTTTATGTCTTTTTAACATTACACAATATTTTAAGTATTTCATTACCTTTCTATCAATTCTTTCAATACCAATTCGATGCCACCGATCATCATTAAGTGATTTCAAATTAGAAGTACTCGTTAATATAATATCTGGCCAATTTTCATGTGTAAACAATATTTTTGGACGTCCATTCTAATAATAATAACAAATAAAAATAGAAAATAAATCAAAAATTCTAATGATTAATTATATTTAATGACGTCCTGAAACACTTAGTCTAATTACATACTTCTAGTTCAAAATAATAGTTGACATTATTTTCAAATGAGTAACAAGATATAACAATTGTTTTTTCCTTTTGATTTGTCCGAATAGCAAACGATAATGATTCAGATGGTGCATATTCTTCTTCATCTGTTATATATTTAATTCTTAAATGTTTTGGTGTTGGATATTCACCAATATTTTTTGGTATACTTTTTGATAAATCACCATCAGAACCTAAACAATAAAAAATAAAATAAAATTTATTATAAAGAAAAAATTTCTAATTAAAATGATGGGTTATACTACGATTCTATCCATAAATAAAATATTAGTACAAAGCATGTATCTACGTGTAAAACTAAAAAAGATATTTCTTACCAGTTAAATTTGTTATTGAAACAGTGGATTTAAACAACAATGACCAACCACTGATTATATATAATAGAATACTACTTATTTTAGACATATTAATTAATTTTAATATAGATATATTTGTACTTGAACAACTACTGTCATCAATTTACTAATTTTTAAATTGTATTCGTTCATATTTTTTTTTTTTGCTCTATAATGTGATGATAATTTGTTTATTTCTTATGTTCTATTTTAAATGTATAAAATATTCCATTTAGACTTAAACATTAGTTAGTAGAAGAGGTATATCTATCTGTATCTATCAAAGAATTTTTTCTTCTTTTTTTTTCATCATCATTATTATAAGAAATCGTACAACAAAAGTGAATGAGAACACATAAATACATACATTTCTATCTTTCTCATCGCCTCTATAAAATTTTTTTTTATACACATGAGAGAAAAACCTAACGCTTTGTTGGTTTTCAGCCACCATCATTTATATGACCAACGATGGATAAAAAAAAAAATAAGTTTTTTTTTTTCATTCTATAAATGTCTAGTTAGGGCTACTTGTATTACTAATACCACCATATATTTCTGCTATATTTGAATGACACATTCTTTTTGTTCTGTGTGCCACTACAGATTTAACATCTTTTCGTGATGATGGTGAGTTTACTCTCTTTTCTCTCACATTTAGAAGAAGAAGAAGAAGAAGATGATGATGTTCTTCTCTAAGACAAAAAATATATAAAATATATTTTTAGTAGCTATCAAAAAGAGATTTAGGTTAAATTTCTCTTTTCTTTCGTTCAAATAGCACAAATTTGTTTTTCTCTCAAAGAGAAAAGAGAGAAAAAAAAAAATAATAATAATAATAATGAACGGACACTGGTCATTTTCTTTTACTCTTCCTTTCTTTTGAACAAGTGCAATGATTTTCGTTGAATATCCATATACTTTTCTTGAGTATAATTCAGATTTTGTGTACTCTCTCGATTCAATCTTAATCAACACAAATTATCCGACCGTATAGATGGTATATGTACGTTTGTGTTGTGTTGCCTTTTAGATCATTTATATATATTCTCATTCAGCAACGATCTTCAACTACCACTTTAACGACTAGATGAGAGAAAGATAAAGAAATTTTTGAACGATTTCTTTTCCTTTTTTTTTTTTTTTTTTTTTTTTTTTTTTTTTTTAAATTTAATTGTTTAATGAGGTTATAAGGCAGAGTAATATAGGTTTTAAATTTTTTTATCGTTTGAATTAGATAAAATTATTTTTGTTTTTTTTTTTATATTTAAATGCTTTTTACAAACAAAAACTCTTGAAAGAAAACAATTATAGTACAAAAAGTGTTTTTTCAACGAAATATATATCATCACACTTTACTTTAGGAGTAAAAAAACAGCTAAGAAAACACTAATCAATGTAGAATACGTAATATTTTATGATGAATTTTTATTAAACTTTACTTTGGCTTGTGAAGCTGGCTCACAATAACACTTATCAAAAATCTATTAGAGTTGCTTAGTTTCTCTGTAATACTAATTTTTTTTTCGAATAGAATTTCAATTTTTACAAGTATATCTAAATCAGATTTTATTTTTTAATAATCATCATCTACGTCCCGTATGATGACAAACAAATATCCATTCTTTATTATCATCTACAATGGAGAATAGATGATTTTAAATCTAAAATAATTATCTTAAATCTTGTCTGGATGATTGAAAACTATGTATGCACTAATCGGTAAAAATGAAAACGGATGTAACAAAAAAATAATATTTAGAATCTATATCTTAAATTTTATGTATGAAAAATAAATAATTAAATTTATTTTTGTCTAAAACATTTGTTTTCTTTTTTCTTTTACGATTCGTGTTTATTCAGCAAGAAATAATTTCTCCTTTATTCTTTTTTTCTTATCCGATTCCATAACATTTTTATCACGTAGTCTATATTTGTAATTTATAATTAGAGAGACTATATTGCAACAAAAAAAAAAAAAAAAAAAAAAAAAAACTATAGAAAATACAAAGAAAAACTATCTATGAAAAGAATTATTATCTTGACCATTCTAAAATAATGTTCTTTATTTATTATGTATGTATGTCTGTATGTATGTATCGAATGTTGTATTCTTACATTAAAAAAACACGTTTTCTTCTTCTTCTTCTTTTTTTTTCATGTTGAAAACTCTCGAATACATATATATATAGAATGATAGATAGATATCAGTATTATTAATACATAGTTCAATTTCGGATAGAGGCATCAAGTTGCAATTTTTATCTTTATGTGTCGGTATATAAATGTTAATTTTAAGTCTCGTACGAACATTTTTCTTCTTTTTTTTTTTTTTTTTTTTTTTTTTTAAAACAGAGATTTTTTTTTTTTGGCTAATTATTTAAATAAAAAAAGTTTTTTGAATTAAAAATAAAAGAAGAAATAGAATTAGTGTTATTGTAAATAATAAA